CTCACTATAGATTATGAGTTTGTCTCTTTTTGTCCACACAGACTTCACTTGCCCTAAGTAATGATATTCTTGCTTCTCTGGACATACAGTCTTGTCATCTGAGCCCACAAGTGACAAACTGGGACCAATTACAGATCCTTGACACAACATTTGGTAATTTTAAATGATCTATGAAAGCAGAATAAACATGGATTGATTTCTATGTCCTACTTTGATTCTAGTCAGTTGCAAATTGTGATAAAACTTGTTTTGAAAAGAAAACTGGGGAAAGGTGAGAGAAAAGTCACAGAAAAACTACAGGTTGCCAAAGTCTTTCTGTATTTCTCCCACCACTTGCTCATCAAAGATACTTGCAAAATCAAGCTATATCACTTAGGACCTCATGTGTCAGAGATGTATACTTCATAGAGTTTTAGCTGCCTCCCCCATATATGCAAATATTTAAATCATAATATCAGAATTTCAGAGCTGGAAAAGAGCTTAGAATTAATCTTGTGAAGTCCAAGCTGATAATTTTACAAATAAACAATTACAGAAGTGAAGAAATTAACTTCAAATCACAGACTACTTAATGATTGAGCAAAATGTTGACTCCTTGCTTCCAAAGTCCCATTCTAATGCTACCTCCTCAGACCCTAGAATCTGGAACAGTACTCTGTACCATAGAGAATCTCATGAAAATAATCTCGAAGAATGGAAGGAACCAATATTCTGGGATACAAATAAGAGTCCATTCTTATAACTTACGATTTACATGATTTTCAGGATAAGCCTTATTTTCCATGTGTAGAAATATGGAATGCATAGAAAATGTAGCTCAGATGAGTGCTAAATGTTTTAAAAACAGAGTATGCCTGGAAAAGAAGCAAAATTAGAACAATACAGGAGGGAGTCTCAAAAATCCATAGTCTGAGGCTTTGAAGAATATCTCAAAAGTCTGTGGAGATTATGAAATAGTTGCAAGTTTCTAGATACTGAGATGTTGAAATGACTGACTAAGGCCTATATGTTAAAATGCATGCCCTTGGCATGGCTGTGATTCAGTTGGACGGTATCATTTTACTCCAAACTGGGGCCTTGATAGACCCAATCCACATCCTGAAAGGAACCACCTCACCACCCCAGGGATCACTATAACCAAACTTTATGCACAACTAGCCTTCCCAGGGGGCGCCTGGGTGTCTCAGTGGGTTAAGTGGCTGCTTCTGGCTCAGGTCCTGACCCCAGGGTCTCGGGATTGAGGAGTTGTTGGGCTCCGTGCTTGTGGGGGAGCATGGTTCTCCCTTTTTATCCCTCCATCCCTCTCCCTGCTCATAATCGCATGCTCTCACTCTCTCTCTCTCTCTCAATTAAATAAATAAAATCTTTAGAAAAAATAAAAAAAGAACTGACCTTGAAACATTTACACAGTCCATGGCACATGGATGCTTAATAGAGAATGTTGTTGAACAGGTAAATAATTTCTTCCCAGAATACTGAGAAATTTGTAGTATGAGACATTGGGAAATACGGAGTTCGAAGCTCCATCGGCAGATAGTGAGCAACCCTAATACTGGTGTTACTAAATCAGCCTCGGTACCACTTGTAAAGGAAAAGCATACTGGCTATCATGTTCTCACCCTCTGGAGACTTGTCTTGAAAGAGAGATAGAAATTTCTGTATTTGGAAGAAAAAAAAACAGTCCTTAAAAAATTCAGTGTACTTATTTTTCTAAATAAATTAGGTCCGTGCCAACAATGGATTCTCCAAAAGAGAGGGCAAAATCTGAACATCCATTGTAGCTTCAGTCTCCCCATACCTGAGGAAGAAAGTTCTTTTCCTATCATCGCTAAACTAACAGAAGTCTTCTCTGGTGCCATAGTCCCTGGGCCATGGATAGAGGCAAACCACCTCAGGTAATGCCCTGTGGACACAACTCACAGTCCACACATTCTGGCACCAAAGAAAGTGTTGAATCAGGGAGGATTTTTTTTAGTCAAGCATTAGCCCCAAATATTTTTAATATTAGGAGAGAAGGACACATACATAAATCACCACACTGTAAAGCAAAATTCATTGCTACAGAGATATAATGAAAGTACTAGAAGGTACCAGTGGGACACTTTCTGTAACTGATAGCATGAGGAAAGTCATAAAATGTGGTCAAATTGGGCTTTGAACAATGTGTTAAATTCCAATAGGCAGAAACATCAAGCTTGCATTCTATCCTGCAGACGTAGTGAGGGTGTACATGTTTGGCCTGAGTTTAGGAGTGGAGAGACCAGAGGTCTCAACGTAAGTTGTGGGGAAGAGAAGAGTTATAGGATGGTCCCCGGCACCTTTGCCTCTAGATCTCTTCCTCAGACAGGCACCGGATTCCACTCAGTGTCACAGGAAAGCCCACTTCTGCAGGCCACTTTCTCCAGGCTCCCACCTGGGCAGGTTTCCATCTGCATCTGGCCAGTGGGAGGTACCCACTAGAGATGAGAAGGCAGACGTGTGAGATCTGGGCTCCCCTCTTCCTCTTGGGCATGATCTCTGGCAGTCAAAGTGCCTCCTTCCTGGCTCCAGCTCCCGTGGGAGAGCCCCACCCCGAGCCCTAACCTTTCACTTGGTACTTCCCTTCTGTTCGCTCCCTCTAGAGAGCTTTGGCCCCTCGGTTCTGGGACCTCTGTCTTATCACATTGTTCCTTCCGTCCTAAGGGTGTTAGTGGCTTCTCTGTTTTAGCTGAAGGGAACTGGAATACTTCACCCCAAAATATGCCTCTTTGACCTAAAAATGATTTTTGAGCTGTAGGCAATTAAGAACCAGGAAATGCAAGAAAAGCTCTATCACCCCCCCCCCCCTTTCTGCCTAAAGGTAGGAGGTACATTCTCCCTTTCCTAGAGACAGACTCTTTATCGGCCAATGGACAGCACCAGAGCGACCTGCATCAAACCTGACTGGATCAGTGCCCTCTCATGGATTTACCACCCCACAGCTTGCCATCTTGGAAGCCTAAAACTGTTCTTGTCCAGCCATTTCCCCACAAATGTCTTGTTCTTTGACAAGGATGCTACATGAACTGGAGTTGTAAGCCACGATTTTGTTTGTTTGCAATCGACATATAATCGATATAAATTTCAGGTGCACAACGTAGAGACTGGATGATTCTGTATATCACAGGGTGCTCGCCTCAGGTGACCATGTATGACCACATGACGATGTTACAGGATTATTGGTTATGTCCGCCATGCTGTCCTTGTCATCCCCACAATTTATTTCTCTTATAACTGGAAATTGACACCTCTTGTACCTTCTCCCACCCTCCACCCCCTCACCCCCCACCCTCCAGCCCTTCTGACCATCAGTTTGTTCTCTGTATTTGGGTCTTTTTTTTGATTTTCTGGTTTGCTTTTTTTTTTTTTTTTTTGGTCATTTGTTTCATTTTTATTTTTTCTTAAGGTTTATTTATTTTAGAGAACAATTTTCAGCTGGGGGAGGGGCAGAGTGAGAAGAAGAGAATCCTGGAGCTGACTCCTGGCTGAGCACAGAGTCCAAGGATGGGGGGAGGGGCTCAGTCCCAGGACCCTGAGATCATGACCTGAGCCAAAATCAAGAGCTGGACGCTTAGCTAACTGAACCACCCAGGCACCCCTGTTTTGGTTTTAGATTCCACATATAAGTGAAATCATGTGATTCTTGTCTTTCTCTGTCTGACTTATTTCAGTTAGCGTAATACATACCCTCTAGGTCCAACCATATTGTCACAAAGAGCAAAATTTCATTCTTTTTTATGAGTAATATTCTGTTGTACACATTTTTTTCTCTGTTTATTCACTGATGGCCCCTTGGATTGTTGCCATATCTTGGCTATTGTAAATAATGCTACAGCGAATATGGGGCTGCATGTATCTTTTTCCAAGCCATGGCTTTGAGTTACTCATTGAGGTTTCTCCCTCATGATGTGCGGTGTGCATGTGTTAATAAACTGTTTTTCTCCTGCTGGTCCCGCATTTGTTAAAGAGCTTCAGCTGAAAACACTGAAGATGGATAGAGGTAAAGTTCCATCTCTCATACTTGGCCAACCTATGGCTTGCTTCTCCATCTTTCATTTGACTTCTCAGCTTTCCCATCACTTGCATAGCCAAATTTCTACATTAAATCACATGGCTTAAAAGACCTGAAGTCCCTTCTATTTTCTGCCAGAGTCTGATAAATAAGGGCAACCATTAAGACTGACTATTAAGGGCACTTGGGTGGCTCAGTGGTTGAGCGTCTGCCTTCGGCTCAGGGCATGACCCCAGGGTCCTGGGATTGAGTCCTGCATCAGGCTCCCCACAGGAAGCCTGCTTCTCTCCCTGCCTATGTCTCCACCTCTCTCTCTGTGTCTCTCATGAATAAATAAATAAAATATTTTTAAAAAAGACTGACCATTAAAAGGAGTAATGGCTTCAGCTCTACCTTTCTTTGCCTCTACCTACTTTAGCTTCCTATATTTAAAAATAGTTTTTTGTTGTTGTTCTCATTTGGCATTAAATGAATCGGGTTCACATACCAGAAACCTTCATGTGTTTTCTCATCACTTCTTTTAGTCTCCCAAAACATTATTGGATGTCTATTATGTACAGAAACTGTACTATTTGGACTCCTGCCCACAAGAAGCTGTGTACCACGTACACAGTCATGTAGCGAGATAATTCACAGAGTGTGATAATGCTTGAACGATATCTACAAAAAGTCAACAGAATGCCAATGGCAGAGAAAACAATTCTTTATTGGTAGGTGGTAGATGGGAAAGGGGAGAAATATTACAGAAGGTCAGGAAGGGCAGCCCGGGTGGCTCAGTGGTTTAGCGTCACCTTCAGCGCAGGGCCTGATCCTGGAGTCCCGTGTTGGATCCCTCATGGAGCCTGCTTCTCCCTCTGCCTATGTCTCTGCCTCTCTCTCTCTCTCTCTCTCTCTCTCTCTGTCTTACTCTATGTGTCTCTCATGAATGAATAAATAAAATCTTAAAAAAAAAAGGTCAGGAAAAAGTGAATAATAGTTAAAGGCATTTATTTAGCACTTACTCTGTTTCAGAAACTTTTCAAAAAGTACTTTACATATACTTTCTCATTTAATCCTCAAAATAATCGACATAGGTGAAGTATCCCCATTTACCAGATGAGAAAACAAGGCAAACGGAAATTAAGTAACTGCCCCCAAAATATGAACAAAGCCATGAAGACAGGAGAATGCACAAAAGAGGGAAGAGGAGGAAGTCACGCAGTTGAGCTCTTGTTTTACAGTTTGAGATCAAATATGTCCAGATTAGGAAAACCATCCTAAGAAAGGTTGGACTCAATACTTTTGTAACTGAAAGGAAAGGAATCCACTGTAAATCTCTACAAAGGCAGCATTGGCAGGGAAACAAGGTGTATTTTCATGCTTTGGTAGCAATTTGCTACAGTAATTAATTTGCAAATTCTTGGTTCATAAGTAATAATCCTAAATCAAATAGAAATCAAAATTGAGAGAACACAGTACTTGAAGTATAATGTTTCTCCTGCTCCCCCACAACTGTGATTTGTCTATACAAATTAACTCCTGGATAAGTGGGTTCAAGACTTCATCCAAAAGTAATGTAATTGAGGATCACATTTATGAAAAGCAAGGGGCAAAAGTACTCATTTTGTGTGTTCATTGGTCACCATAAGCCTTAAATATTGTACGTTCAATTTTCTATTCTGCAGGTTAACAAAAATGCTAACATGGGGCACATTATTGTTAGCTTAAAATGCAAAGGTGCATAATAATAAGTCTAATATAACGCCAGAAATATTAGAGAATGCAGAACACAGCATTTCCAAATACTACCACAGCTTTAACACCAGGAAAAAATGTAAAGTTTGCATACCTTTTACGAAATTACACATTTAAAATTTTTTCTGTTGTGATAGCTTTTTTAAAAATTAGAAAAACCTTAGTTTTTATGTGAGCTTCCAAATTCAACCGTCAGCATCCTTCCCGCTTTGTAGGGCCAGCAGGGGGCAGACGTGACCAAGCCATTTAATATGTTTCTCTATGCTGTTAGAAAGTTTGCATTTGAGATACAATATGCTCTTGAAGCCAAAGGTATATTTAAAAAAAAAAAGATGCATATCAAACAACCAAAATCGAAAACTCTGATAATTTGACTTTAGGTCTCTTTCATCTTTTTTTTTTTATGAGCTACCAAAATCCAAGTCTAACTTTTGTTTATCGGTTTGCCATTATACAAGATTAGCAATGGCCATCAGCACCTGAATTTCTGTCTCTAAGCACCTGCACTGATAATCTACTTGTATATATTATCTAACTTAGTTCTTACAACATATCTACGAATAAAGTGTTATCATCATCTGTAAGATCGGGAAATGAGAGACTTTTTAAAGATCACATATGATGTAGCAGAGACTCAGTTTTGTCTAATTCTAATGTTTGTATATGATATCGTTTCTCATTTCTTTCTTTTTTAATTACAAAATATATAATACATACAGAAAGTGCATACAAGACAAATACACAATTTAAAAATAATTATAAAGCAAATATCCATTTCATCACCACCCTGTTCAACACATGGGACATTTTTAGCTTCTGCAAAACAGCTAGGTGAGCCCCCGACTCTTCACAACCCCAAACCCTTGAAAGGTAATCACCATCTTTTTATGGTCATCATTTCCTCTCTTTTATTTAGAATTTTTGTGAGATTTATACAAATCTATTCATAATGTATAGATTCATTGATGTCTTTACCCTTTGGTCAATATTATATTTGCAGTATTTGTGCTATTGTATATATAATTCTTTAATTTTCTTTGCTATATGAAATGAAGTACTTTATATAATATAGCACAATTAGTTATCTTTTCTACTATTGATGGGTATGTGGCTTGTTTCCAATTGGGACTATGATGAACAATGCTACTACAAAAATTCTTATACATGTATTCAGGTGCACATATAAAAGTATCCCTAACATACATAACTGAGAGTCAAATTGCTAGCTCATCAGGTCTGTCTGTGTATCTTGAACTTTACCACAAACATCCAAAAGTCTGTTAACAGATGAATGGATAAAGAAATGTGGTATATTCACACCATGAAATACCACTCAAAAAAAAGAAAGAACTATTGTTACATGCAACAATAGGGTTGAATCTCAAAACACACTGAATAAAAGAAGACAGACACAAAAGGGTATATTTTGTACAATTTCATGTATATAAATTCTAAAAAATGAAAAGTAACTTACAGTGACAGAGTACAGACCAGCGATCGTCTGAGGATCAGAACAAGAGGTGGAGTAAAGAGAATGGATTATGAAGGCCCCAAGTAAATATTTTTGGAGGGAGGGATAGAAATATTTGCTACCTGGATTGTCAAGATCGTTTTACGGTATATTCATATGTCAAAAATCACTCAATTTTACACCTTAAATATGCATACTTTATATGTCAACTAAATCTCAATAAACATAAAAAAAGAATCAGATTATTTTAGTTTGGATTTTTAAATTATTACTAATGATATAGAACACATTTCTTCTGTACTGGATATTTGAATTTCCTTTTTCTTTAGAGCTCCTTCTCAAGTCTTTGGTTCATTTTCTGTTATGTTTTAGTTTTCTTCTAGACCTGTAGGATTACTTTGTACATCCTTTTATTAGTTCTTTGCTAGTCATATGTTTTTCCACATTTTGCGGTGTCTTTTCACTATCTTAATGGGATTTGTTGAATATAAAAGTTACTGATTTCAGTGTAGTTGAATTTTCAATCTCTTTTGAGATTAAGCTTTTTGTATCTTGTTTAATAAATATGACATAAGAAATATTTTATTACCCCCATTATAAAAGTACGCTTCTATTTTATCTTCTCAATGCCCTTTAGCACATAGGTACTTAGTTCACCTAAAGTAGACTTTTGTGTATAATGTGAAGGATTCACTGTTATTTTTCCCCAAACCAATTGACTAGTCCATTTATGAACTGTCTGTTGTTTTTCCATCCATCTGCAATGCTAACCTTATCATAGGACAAATGTCCAGACGTGTTTGAGTCTGTTTCCGGGCTCTCCATTCTGTTCCATTAATTTATTAATGCACCAAAGTCAACTTACATTTCTTAATATGTCTCTTTATACCTGGTTTCCCACTTCATTCTTTAAGAACATCTTGACTATGTTTGACTCCATAAATTTTAGGATAATATCAACTTATTCATGATGCTACTTCTCATTTCCAAGGTATATTTACAAACTGAAATATAGTATGTTCCCATTATGGAATATTTATTATCATACAAAACTGGAAAGACCCAAAGTCATATGGTTTATTTCTATGTAGTTATAAATCAGAAAAATGCTTAACACAACATGCATGTTGACCTATAAGGAAAGTATTAGAACTGCCCATTAACATCACAATAACATGAGAGATAAGATTAAATTATCTTTACTTATGTACAATAATAGGAATCAAACAAATATACAATCTCATGAAAGAAGTCAGATCCAAAAGAGTACATAGTGCATGATGTTATGTAAGTGATAAAAGAGACAAGACCAATCTATGCAATTAGCAGCCAGAGTAGTGGATATCCTAGGTGGCTAGATGGGGGACTTCTAGGATATTCTAGAATGTTCTGTTTCTTACCTGAGTTCTAGTTTCATGGGTTAAGTCTATCAAAATGTACTGAGCCATGAACTCTGTACTTTTTATGCATATATATTAATAAATAGCTTTTTTAAAGTAACTGTTAACAATTTTAGACCTATTGATAAGACTTTCTTTATAATTTAAGTGAGAAACTAGATACAAAATGTTCTGAATCTGTGAGATACTTATTGAGGTGCGTCTCCAGCTGAGTTAATACAACAGCGGCCATGTCCGTGATTAACTCCCTGCTTCTAATAACAAATCACTCTTCCTGGGCAAGTATGACTCAAGGTAGGATGATTATATTTCTCCCTCTTCTGGAGATAAAGTGATTGTTCCTATAGGCTCAGCATATGATTCAAACTAGATCAATTGCAGTCCTTTTTTGGAATATTTCGTAATGAAACTGGAAAAGAAAAGCCTTCTTCCTTTTTGGGTCCTGGGACTGAATGAATGTCAACTTGAAGCTTGGGTTCAGATGGCTTAAGATTTATCAAGAATGCTAGCCTGAGAAAATGACAGCAATAGACACAAAGAAGGAACCAGAGAGTCTGTGTGTGTGGGTGTGGGTGGGTGTGGGTGTGAGAGCATGTCTGCAAGAGAGAGAAAGAGAGGATAGATTTTGAATCTACAGATACAACTATCTGAGGCAGTTCTGTTCAATCCCAGCCTTTTCTATGGTTTATTTTTTATTCGTATAATTCAGGTTGAGTCTTTTCACTTGTAACTAAAATAGTCGTAACTGGTAGAAAATCAAACTCTAGTCAGTTTTAATTCTCTAGAATTCTTATCAATATTAATTGTCACATCCAGGAAAAGGGTTTAGATATTAAACAAACAAAAACATGGCTTTAGGTTAAAGAATACAACATTGACTGGAGACCCAAAGAGAAGATCAAATGCTTTAGAAATAAAACAAGAAGGCAAAATGAAGATGACGTGGGTGAAGATCAAAATATGCTGACAAGTTATATTAAAATAAACTTTGCTAAAAGCACACACACACTTAAGGTAACAGGTTTTGTAAGAAGAAACCTTCATTTTTCACAGATACAGAACATAAATCCAAAAGAAACTATAATCATTTTTTTTCACTATTAATAGCTGTAAAGCCCATTGTTCCTAGTTATTTGCAGGTATTACAATTTCGCATATGCATCTTCATTCCAGATATACATAAAATATGCCCCTTCCGTTTCAGCTACTTCTATTTTTCCTGTTTTCTTATTTCTCAGTTTTTGCTCTTCTATGATGAGATTAAAATTATTAGTATGTGAAGGAGTCACATATTTATTTCCTTCTTTGACTACTTTTTCTCTGTGAAAAGAGAAACAAAATATTATTACTGGATTATTTAGGGAAAAGAAACCAGAAGGAAGGGGAACGTTGGGTTACTGGGGGTCTAAACCAACCAACCTCGACTTTGGAAGTGCATGCTCTATGAAGGAAAGAAACCAAGATGGTAGGATCAGTAGTAGTTTGAGGGTTTCTTCATCGCTTGCAAGTGAGAGAGAACAAAGAGGATAGCATATTCTAATCTGATTTCTTACAAACTAAAATAAGATTTTAGTATAGATTGAAACTTCTATCTGATCTTTGATTGAACTGGTGCAGCATGTATTGTCGAGAGAATTTGAGAAACATGGTGAACAATAGATCCAAGCAGGGGGTAGCCATAGAGCTGACACTTTCAAGTGTCTATACCACCAAATACAACTACCTGTTTTCTCAGGAGGCAAATCCTCTAAGAAGTCATCTGCAGCCCACAGCATCTGTCTCAGTGCAGAGAGAATCAGAAGGTCCTTTACGGGTTCCAGTTCCCACTCTGAGGTATAATTACTAACCACCAAGATGTCAGAAAGAGCAAATCCAAGTTCTCTGTGGACCATCTCTAACTGCAAAACAGAAACAGTGACAAAGACTTATCTTAGGCCAATATATATTGTGAAAGCAGTGACAAAAAGCAGGAGCTTGGCAATAGTATACCTGCTGGAGAAATGAGGATAGAGATCTGGTCCCATAAATACTTTCTTAAAGAGCTTCACAAGTCAATCTTCAGTATCGCTATTAATTGTCATCGAGAATACACACAACAGATTCCACGTGAATTAGAAATGAAAAATAACTAATAGTTCTATTAGATAACTTTGAAATTGAAGCATTTTTAATACTCTTACGCTGGAGTCTGTAATTTCCCGTTTCCTACTATAAGTATTCTCATGATTAGTCAATTTTTATTAGACTAGTTTAATAATGATATTTAATTCTTGCTTAGACTAATTTCTCTGTGGAATGACACCACCTGGGTTCAAAACGGGGCTCTGTTATTTCTTGTCACTGTCAAAAACACTTTGCTTTTGTTTCCTCATCTTTAAAATGCGGTAATGATGGTACCCATCTCACAGATGGTAGATTTAATAGGTGATGGGAATGAAGGAGGACACTTGTGATGAGCACTGGGTCATATATAGAAGTGTTGAATCACTATATTGTAAGCCTGAAAGCAATATTATACAGTATATTAACTAACTGGAATTTAAATAAAAACTTAAAAGAAGAGGAAAAAATTGCTATGACTCCCTGTAATGTACCTAATTAAGTCAAGTCACCCATGCAAATATAACTTTTTAATTTTATCTCTTCCTACAAGGATTCAGCCCTCCACTAAACTGAATGATTCCATGCTTCCCACTCACATGCCTTTTCATACACTGATGTATTGACTTATATCATCCTCATAACCCAATTTTTTTTTCCTCTTTTTGTCTCTTCACCTCCTGAAACTTTCCTCCTCTTTGAAAGCTATTTTCCAGTGACACTCCAGGAATGAAATCTTCCCCATCTCCCCTAACATAATATTTTCCTCTCTAAACTTTCACTTTTGAGTCCCTTCATGAGATTTATCATACTCATACTGTTGATTTTTTCCTATCCCACCTCCCATCCCCTCACCTCCATTGATAAAATTCTAAGCTTTTGAGTGAAGAGAAATTGTTTTAATTATCTGTGTATCTGGTTAGAGATGATCACTCTGACTCAGTATGAAAAGCAATCAATAAATACTTGTTGATGGGCACCCGGGTGGCTCAGTGGTTGAGTGTCTGCCTTCGGCTCAGGTCATGAACCCCAGGGTCTCCATCGGGCTCCCCACAGGAAGCCTGCTTCTCCCTCTGCCTACGTCTCTGCCTCTCTCTGTGTGTCTCTCATGAATAAACAAATACAATCTTTCTAAATAAATAAATAAGCAAGCATTTGTTGAATTGAACCTAATTATATTAAATTATAATGAATGGAATGATCTGTGTCTGTGTAAAGATGAATAAATATTTAATTTTTAAATCTTGGGACACGAATCTGAATTATCCAAGCAATTGTTTTAATTCTTAAGTTCTGTAGGTGTCCATTTTATTTTTTTCCATTTTATTTTTATACACAGTAGTACCAGGTGATTATAGTGACATATCCCAGAATATGTGTTTACAAAAAGGAACATCATTCATTACCTTGAACTTCACAGGTGTACATCTATATATGTCTATGAAGTCACCTTTTGTAATCAGATCCAAGCTATCCACATGAGTGAGCAACACCACATGTATTATACCTAGACCAAACAGATACATGTCACTTTGATCTTTAAAGACAGCATCAGTATTTTTCAGTTAATCAGCTATCAATTATAAAACATGCTTTCTATGGAGTCATTTCAGAGATTTGGGAAGGTCCACTCCCCTAAAAATATCCCTTTCAACTACTCATTAGTACATGGAATTCCTTTGACATAGGAAATTTCCTTCATTGCTTTCTATGGTAAGAAATGAGGCTTCACAGAAATCAATGGCATTTCTATACACTAACAATGAGACTGAAGAAAGAGAAATTAAGGAGTCAATCCCATTTACAATTGCACCCAAAAGCATAAGATACCTAGGAATAAACCTAAGCAAAGAGGTAAAGGATCTATATCCTAAAAACTATAGAACACTTCTGAAAGAAATTGAGGAAGACACAAAGAGATGGAAAAATATTCCATGCTCATGGATTGGCAGAATTAATATTGTGAAAATGTCAATGTTACCCAGGGCAATTAACACATTTAATCCAATCCCTAACAAAATACCATGGACTTTCTTCAGAGAGTTGGAACAAATTATTTTAAGATTTGTGTGGAATCAGAAAAGACCCCGAATAGCCAGGGGAATTTTAAAAAAGAAAACCATATCTGGGGGCATCACAATGCCAAATTTCAGGTTGTACTACAAAGCTGTGGTCATCAAGACAGTGTGGTACTGGCACAAAAACAGACACATAGATCAATGGAACAGAATAGAGAACCCAGAAGTGGACCCTGAACTTTATGGTCAACTAATATTCGATAAAGGAGGAAAGACTATCCACTGGAAGAAAGACAGTCTCTTCAATAAATGGCGCTGGGAAAACTGGATATCCACATGCAGAAGAATGAAACTAGACCACTCTCTTACACCAGACACAAAGATAAACTCAAAATGGATGAAAGATCTAAATGTGAGACAAGATTCCATCAAAATCCTAGAGGAGAACAAAGGCAACACCCTTTTTGAACTTGGCCACAGTAACTTCTTGCAAGATACATCCACGAAAGCAAAAGAAACAAAAGCAAAAATGAACTATTGGGACTTCATCAAGATAAGAAGCTTTTGCACAGCAAAGGATACAGTCAACAAAACTAAAAGACAACCTACAGAATGGGAGAAGATATTTGCAAATAACCTATCAGATAAAGGGCTAGTTTCCAAGATCTATAAAGAACTTATTAAACTCAACAGCAAAGAAACAAACAATCCAATCATGAAATGGGCAAAAGACATGAAGAGAAATCTCACAGAGGAAGACATAGACATGGCCAACATGCACATGAGAAAATGCTCCGCATCACTTGCCATCAGGGAAATACAAATCAAAACCACAATGAGATACCACCTCACACCAGTGAGAATGGGGAAAATTAACAAGGCAGGAAACCACAAATGTTGGAGAGGATGTGGAGAAAGGGAAACCCTCCTGCACTGTTGGTGGGAATGTGAACTGGTGCAGCCACTCTGGAAAACTGTGTGGAGGTTCCTCAAAGAGTTAAAAATACACCTGCCCTATGACCCAGCAATTGCACTGTTAGGGATTTACCCCGAAGATTCAGATGCAATGAAACGCCAGGACACCTGCACCCTGATGTTTCTAGCAGCCATGTCCACAATAGCCAAACTGTGGAAGGAGCCTCGGTGTCCATCGAAAGATGAATGGATAAAGAAGATGTGGTCTATGTATACAATGGAATATTACTCAGCCATTAGAAACAACAAATACCCACCATTTGCTTCAACGTGGATGGAACTGGAGGGTATTATGCTGAGTGAAGTAAGTCAATCGGAGAAGGACAAACAGTGTGTGTTCTCATTCATTTGGGGAATATGAATAATAGTGAAAGGGAATATAAGGGAAGGGAGAAGAAATGTGTGGGAAATACCAGAAAGGGAGACAGAACATAAAGACTCCTAACTCTGGGAAACGAACTAGGGGTGGTGGAAGGGGAGGAGGGCGGGGGGTGGGGGTGAATGGGTGACGGGCACTGAGGGGGACACTTGACGGGATGAGCACTGGGTGTTATTCTGTATGTTGGTAAATTGAACACCAATAAAAATTAATTTATTAAAAAAAAAAGAAAGAAAGAAATGAGGCTTCAAATAAAACCACCTCTTGGAAGAGATAAACTAAAACTGAGCTACAATATTGTTGACTGGTCTTATGTCCTATCCCAACAATTGTTTTTATGGAGACTAGAGAAAAGAGATCTCATAAACAAGATGGGGGAGAAGAAGGAGGAAATAGCATTGTCAAAGCATCACAAATAAACTGCTCTCTGTCACAATGCTTTCTGCACACCTCCCTTGCAAGGTTTCAAACTTCAATGAGCAAGTAAATCATTTCATGCTTCTAACTTAATCAAGATTGTGATAAACTGGCTCTTTCCCAGACAGAATGGATAATAAAGCCAAGAAAAGCCAATATGGGGCTTTTCTAATTCCCTGATCCTGTTTACCTTCTCCTAAGCCTTTATACTACCACTCCCTACCTAACATCTTACCTCCCTGTCACCTTTTCTTACTGATATATTGTTTTCCATTTCTAATCATTTAAGGTCCAAGGGAAAAGCTAGAAGTTTTGGTAAATAAATTCATGCTAGGATATAGTGATAGCAGGTAGTGAGGACTGTGCTAAACTCTTCAAATATAATGATTTGTTTAATCCTTATAATAAATCTCTGAGGTAGGTGCTATTATTATACTAATTTTATAGATTAGGAAATTGAGACCATAGAGAGTTTAAGTCACTCACATAGAATCATACAGCTATCAAGCGCTTGATTTGATTGAACCACACTGATGGGACAGAGAAGATTCACATGCCCAATTTCTTAAGCTTCTCATCCTGTTCTAAAACCATTCTATAATATAGTCTAATCAATTACTCTTAATAGCAAAGTGGAATGAGACTCACCACACTTTATCAACTCCCTTCGAATTTTTTTGATCTTTGCCATCATCTCATAAGAGAGGTGTTCAACAGAGTTGATATTGAACACAAACACCGCACAATGAATTCTGTCCTTTAGCAATGGGTTTTCAATATAGTTACTATGACCTGGTGTGATTGCTTTCATGGAATTAAACTGTAAGGTAAACATAAATCAACATATTAATTCCATGGATATTTATGAGCATATACTATGTATGAGGCAGTATACAAGTCTCTGATATTATGAAGCTAGCAATCCAATAGGGAAGACAGTCTATGTAAGTAGCAAGCAGCCCGTTCACACAGGCAAGTAAAGCTTCTGCAAGAATGGGACACGTAATCCGGGAGCTACAAAGTAGGGGGAGTTAGTCTGATAAAGGGAACGAGCATACGGTAGAAAGTGTTCTAGATAGAAGCAGTGTGGGCGAAGGTGGAGGTGAGAACATTCAGAAAGAAATCCGGCATCATCACACAGAATGCAAGAGCAGAAAGTGGTTCAAAACGAGATGCATATACTCTCAAACTAGCAATCCCTCTGCTGGGAATCTGTCACAGGTATACTAGCAAAAATACAAAATGATGTAGGTACAAACCTATTAACTTCAGGGCTATTTGTAGTAGCAAGACTCTAATATATCAATTATATATATATAATTATATATATATATATATATATAATAATATATATATAATAGTATTTCATGACTTCCCAAAAAAGAGAAGAACCACAAATCTGTAAGTATTTTCTTATACAGTAAAAAAGGAAAGTAAACCATACATTTTTATATGGTTGCTTATTTTTAAAAAGGAAAAAAATGTATTTGGTTTTTTTTTTTTTGAAAAAAATGTATTTGAAGGGGCAGAGAAATAAAATGGATTCTTTGACTATGCCCCAGTTTGTAAAGTTGACTTTAGACTACATTTCAGTATGCCAAAACTAATTGCATATGGTTTGGGTAAATGTTAGTTGACTACTAAGGGTGTGTTCAGTATTTGTGACCATAGTTTTGGTGTACTTGCTATGATTTATGGATTAAATGCTATGATGTAGGGATGCCTGGGTGCCTCAGTGGTTGGGAGCCTGCCTCTGGCTCAGGTAGTGATCCAGGGATCCAGAATCAAGTCCCTCATTGGACTCCCTACGAGGAGCCTGCTTCTCTGTCTGCCTAGGTCTCTCTCTCTCTCTCTCTCTCTCTCCTCTCTCTCAGTCTGTGTATCTCATGAATAAATAAATAAATCTTTTTTTAAAAATGTTACAATGTATTAAATTTGATTCCAAATAATACAGGAGAGGAGAAAGTGGATAGACACAGATGATGGGCTGTGAATCAAAAATTGTTGAAGCTGAGTAAATGGGAATTTGTTAAATTGTCTTGTCTACTTTTGCATTGGTTTGAAATTCTCCATAATAAATTTGTTTTTTTTAAAAAGAATATTTAAAAATAAACTTTGCCTCTATAAGATAATGCTATACTAAAGAATGAAAAGCCATTGCATGAATAGAAAAATAAAACACGCTGTGTTTCTGGATAAAAACACTGGATATGCAAAGATGTAAATAAACTTTCAATATAAAATTTTAATGTAATTTTAATCAAAACACCAACAAATCAAACACAAACAATCAAATAAAATACAAATAAGCTCAATTGGAAAAGTATATTGTGAAAATGTTAAGAAAAACAGATGCAAGAAATAAGTAATGAATATGACATGTCCAGTGAGGTATAAAGACATAGTTGATTACTATGGTAATTAAAACAATTAAATAGGGACACCTGGGTGGCTCAGCGGTTGAGTGGCTGCCTTTGGCTCAGAGTGTGATCCTGGGATCCTGGGATCAAGTCTGACATCTGGCTCCCTGCATGGAGCCTGCTTCTACCTCTCCCTATGTCTCTGCCTCTCTCTCTGCATCTCTCATTAATAAATAAATAAAATCTTTTAAAAAACAATTAAATGATATGGTAATAAAAAGAATATCATAAAGTGATTGATAAATACAACAAAAGAACAAACTAGAGAATATGAAAACCAATCCCTACATTTGGTATGTAAAAGATGCAAAGACATTCGATGAAAAATGTTGGCACAATTGACTATTCATTTGGACCTAGATAAATTAATGACTAATTCAAAATCTAAATGTTTATGAAAAGGACTAGAAAGTTTTAAAAAATATGACAGACTAAAGTGGCTTTCTCTTTAATCTCCCCCCTCCTCTCGCATAGGACATCTGAGAGCATAAGGATGAAAGCCACATGTCTTAGTCTGCTTGAGCTGTTATAACAAATGACCATATTTGGTGTCTTACAGGACAAAAATTACCTCTCACAGTTCTGGGGGCTAGAAAGTCCAAGATCAAGGTGCTAGCAGATTTGGCATCTCCTTGCTGTGTCCTCATATGGCAGAGAGAAAGATTTATACCACTTCTTCCCATTCATGAGGGATTTACCCTGTGACCTAATCACCTTTCAAAGGTCCCAACTCAAAAAAAAAAAAAAAAAAAAAAAAAAAGGTCCCCTACAATGTGATGTAATGCCATCACATTGGGGATTAGGGCTTTGGCATGTGAATTTTAGGAGGACACAAAGCACCCCATACTGAGGGTCTCAGTAAGAGAAAGTCAGATTGACCTTTGAAATTGATGACCTCAGAGAGCTTTCACACTGGCCCAAAGCTGCCTACCTTCAGACTTCCTGTTACGGAAGGAAAATTACCTTTGTGAGTAAATTGCTGTATTTGGATTTCTGTTTCACATAGCCAAAGGCAATTGAATATGCAACAACATTCAGAGTTGTTATGGCAGCTTTGACAAAAGAGTCTTTGGATGTTTTAATTCTTTGTAGAATAAAGTATCACAAAGGAACAAATGATCTTGAACAAGTATAGTTCAAGAAAATAAATCATAATACATTAAATTAGACTAGCATCTGCCGTTGTCTATAGTGAGCAAAAATAAACATTTTAAATATCAGTTATAATTTTTCAATAATTAGTTCAATCATACCTGGTATCTGTCAGAAATGTGGCCTTTTAAGATGTAGACTATGTCATCCATGCACGGCCCTTTGTCCTCCTCACCCAGGCCCATTGAGTCACACAGAATAAATGGCAGGGAGTTGTTATGCCCCGCATCCTTAATGGAATATACCCTGTACTACAGAGGAGAAAAAGGCAGTGTTAAGGTACATTTTTTAAATTGCAAATTGAGGTAAAGTCTTCACGTAATGAAGTCAACCAGCAAAAGACTTTTCAACCCTAATTAACTCCAACAAAGAAGTAAAGACTGAGTGACCTTGAATGGACATACCTTGTCAGACACCCCGGCTGCATCAGAGCCCACCAGAGCCTGGTGTGTTACATGGCCTCGGAAAACAGACTTAACTGAGTTGAAAAAGCTAGACTTCCCAGCTCCAGTTGGACCCAAGAGCAGAATCCGTATTTGGTGAACCAGGTCTCTATATGGTCTATAGGATTTTATGTCAAACAATAAGCTCTTGTGGAGCCTGTTGAAACAAGACAATTTTAACAGTTGACTGAGGGTAGATCACAAGAACTTATCATAAATTTTCCTAGGATTCATTTTCTTTTCTTATATATTGCTTTTTTTTTTATTTTTGAGTAGCAATTTGCTTTCCTGTTAAAAGGACACGAAATTATCCTACTTCAAATCCTACTATAAAAGAAGAAAAAATAGGGATCCCTGGGTGGCGCAGCAGTTTGGCGCCTGCCTTTGGCCCAGGGCGCGATCCTGGAGACCCGGGATCGAATCCCACGTCGGGCTCCCGGTGCATGGAGCCTGCTTCTCCCTCTGCCTGTGTCTCTGCCTCTCTCTCTCTCTCTCTCTCTCTCTCTCTCTCTCTGTGTGACTATCATAAATAAATAAAAAAAATTAAAAAAAACATTTAAAAAAAAAGAAGAGGAAAAAATAAAAATAACATTTATAAACTAAATCCAATCAGACATAAAATCTACCAGGTTTAAGCAAGCAGATCATATAAACCTAGTAATAAATATGAACTGTGTTAAGTATGAAGATAACTTATCAGTAATAAACTTCAAAAAGCACAACATAATATGTGACTTTTGAAGTTTATGGAAGTAGGTAATTTCTAACATATTCTTGAAGTTCATATAAGCATTCTCCACCTACCAGCCAGCCCTTCCAAAGTAATTCCCTAAAGTAGTTGAAACTGTAACTGCAAGAAGCCTAAGATATAATGTAGGCATACAGCCAAATAATGGTTTTCCTTCAAGTATATAAAAACATTAGGAAGGCTTTCCCTCTACTTGGTGTTCTTTCTGTTTTAACATTGGTATTATCACAAACAGCTTTATAATTATAATTATAGTTTATTCTTAATGATCCACAAGCTATCTGTTATAATCTATGCTGCCAATTTGACAGAACCTATAATAGAATAAGTCTAAGATAATGAGCAGAATAAAAAAACATTCAAAACATTGACTTACTGAGTAATCTCTTCCATGTTTCTTTTGTCCAGTAAGTCTAGGGGAATAATCAAAGAAAAATGCAAATTACCAGTTGTTGAATGACTGGCTAACTGAATGTCAATGCCTTCATGAGGGAAAAATACAAAAATAGCTTTTCCATAAGAACAGCACAGTATAATGAAAGCAAGTGGAGAAAATTCTGGCAAACCTCCTTAACATCTTTTTGGAGAGTCTAGAGCTAGAGGCAAGGTGGGCACTGTAAGATTAGATGGTCCACAGATCTCTTCTCATCCAATTACTCAGTGGTAGTGTGTGGCTTGCTCCAACACGGGAAATGAGAACTGAGGTCCTTTCTGAATCAGAGAAGCAAGGCATAAAGGCAGGGACAGGCCAAAGAAAGACTGAGAATAGTTAAAGATAGCTACTCTCCATAATCCAAGAGGTCTGAAAGGGATAATGTACAGAGACACACAAACAAAAAAAAAAAACCCCATAGGTACCAATGTTTCTCCAAAACCTACTATCTGTGGGATGCCTGGGTGGCTCAGTGGTTTAGCATCTGCCTTCTGCCCAGGGCATAATCCTGGAGACCCGGGATCAAATCCCACATCTGGCTCCCTGCATGGAGCCTGCTTCTCCCTCTGCTTGTGTCTCTGCCTCTCTTATGAATAAATAAATAAAATCTTAAAAAAAAAAAAACCCTGGGGGGGAGGGGCAAGACGGCGGAAGAGCAGGGTCCCCAAATCGCCTGTCCCCACCAAATTACCTAGATAACCTTCAAACCATCCTGAAAATCTACGAATTCGGCCTGAGATGTAAAGAGAGACCAGCTGGAAGGCTACAGTGAGAGGAGTTCGCGCTTCTATCAAGGTAGGAAGACGGGGAAAGAGAAATAAAGGAACAAAAGGCCTCCGAGGGGGAGGGGCCCCGCGAGGAGCCGGGCTGAGGCCGGGGTGAGTGTCCCCAGGACAGGAGAGCCCCGTCCCGGGAGGAGCAGGAGCTGCACCAACCTTCCCGGGCGGGCGGAAAGGGGCTCGCAGGGAGTTGGAGCAGGACCCAGGAGGGCGGGGATGCCCTCGGGCTCCCGGGGACACTAACAGGCACCTGCGCCCCGGGAGAGTGCGCCGAGCTCCCTAAGGGCTGCAGCGCGCACGGAGGGACCGACCGGAGCAGCTCGGAGGGGCTCGGGCGGCGGCTCCGCGGAGGGGGCTGCGGGGCGGGAGCGCGAATCCACCAGCGCAGGCCCCGGAGCACAGGGCGCCGGGACACAGCCCAGGATCCGGCCTCCCCCGGGACAGGCAGAGGCCGGGAGGGCCCAGGACAGCGAGGACGCTCCTGCCCCGAGCTGAGCAGATCAGCGGCCCCGCCCCGGAGACTCCAGGCCCTGCAGACGGAGAACCGAGAGCCCTGAGCCCCGTAGTTCCTGCGGAGGCTGAATCCAGGCTTCCAGAGTTGCCATAGCAACTGCGGCTGATCCTCCTGGGGCCCCACGGGGTAAACAACCCCCGCTGAGCCCTGCAGCAGGCAGGGGCAGAGCAGCTCCCCCAAGTGCTAACACCTGAAAATCAGCGCAACAGGCCCCTCCCCCAGAAGACCAGCTGGACGGACCAGTGATACTCCCCCGTGTTCCAACACAACTTGTTTTTGGCCACTCTGCACTGAGCAAAATGACTAGAAGGAAAACCTCACCTCAAAAGAAAGAATCAGAAACAGCCCTCTCTCCCACAGAGTTACAAAATCTGGATTACACTTCAATGTCAGAAAGCCAATTCAGAAGCACCATTCTACAGCTACTGGTGGCTCTAGAAAAAAGCATTAAGGACTCACAAGACTTCATGACTGCAGAATTTAGATCCAATCAGGCAGAAATTAAAAATCAATTGAATGAGATGCAATCCAAACTAGAAGTCCTAACGACGAGGGTTCACGAGGTGGAAGAACGAGTGAGTGACATAGAAGACAAGTTAATGGCAAAGAGGGAAACTGAGGAAAAAAGAGATAAACAATTAAAGGACCATGAAGACAGATTAAGGGAAATAAATGACAGTCTAAGGAAGAAAAACCTACGTTTAATTGGGGTTCCCGAGGGCGCCGAAAGGGACAGAGGGCCAGAATATGTATTTGAACAAATCCTAGCTGAAAACTTTCCCAATCTTGGAAGGGAAACAGGCATTCAGATCCAGGAAATAGAGAGATCCCCCCTAAAATCAATAAAAACCGTTCAACACCTCGACATCTAATAGTGAAGCTTGCAAATTCCAAAGATAAAGAGAAGATCCTTAAAGCAGCAAGAGACAAGAGGTCCCTGACTTTCATGGGGAGGAATATTAGGGTAACAGCAGACCTCTCCACAGAGACGTGGCAGGCCAGAAAGGGCTGGCAGGATATATTCAGGGTCCTAAATGAGAAGAACATGCAACCAAGAATACTTTCTCCAGCAAGGCTCTCATTCAAAATGGAAGGAGAGATAAAGAGCTTCCAAGACAGGCAGGAACTGAAAGAATATGTGACCTCCAAACCAGCTCTGCAAGAAATTTTAAGGGGGACTCTTAAAACTCCCCTTTAAGAAGAAGTTCAGTGGAACAATCCACAAAAACAGGGACTAAATAGATATCATGATGACACTAAACTCATATCTGTCAATAGTAACTCTGAACGTGAACGGGCTTAATGACCCCATCAAAAGGCACAGGGTTTCAGACTGGATAAAAAAGCAGGACCCATCTATTTGCTGTCTACAAGAGACTCATTTTAGACAGAAGGACACCTACAACCTGAAAATAAAAGGTTGGAGAACCATTTACCATTCAAATGGTTCTCAAAATATACCCTAAAAACTATAGAACACTTCTGAAAGAAATTGAGGAAGACACAAAGAGATGGAAAAATATTCCATGCTCATGGATTGGCAGAATTAATATTGTGAAAATGTCAATGTTACCCAGGGCAATTTACACGTTTAATGCAATCCCTATCAAAATACCATGGACTTTCTTCAGAGACTTAGAACAAATTATTTTAAGATTTGTGTGGAATCAGAAAAGACCCCAAACAGCCAGGGGAATTTTAAAAAAAGAAAACCATATCTGGGGGCATCACAATGCCAGATTTCAGGTTGTACTACAAAGCTGTGTTCATCAAGACAGTGTGGTACTGGCACAAAAACAGACATATAGATCAATGGAACAGAACAGAGAACCCAGAAGTGGACCCTGAACTTTATGCTCAACTAATATACAATAAAGGAGGAAAGACGATCCACTGGAAGAAACACAGTCTCTTCAATAAATGGTGCTGGGAAAATTGGACATCCACATGCAGAAGAATGAAACTGGACCACTCTCTTGCACCATACACAAAGATAAACTCAAAATAGATGAAAGATCTAAATGTGAGACAAGATTCCATCAAAATCCCAGAGGAGAACTCAGGCAACACCCTTTTTGAACTTGGCCACAGTAACCGGAGAAGGACAAACAGTGTATGTTCTCATTCATTTGGGGAATATGAATAATAGTGAAAGGGAATATAAGGGAAGGGAGAAGAAATGTGTGAGAAATATCAGAAAGGGAGACAGAACATAAAGACTTCTAACTCTGGGAAATGAACTAGGGGTGGTGGAGGGGGAGGAGGGCGGGGGGTGGGGGTGAATGGGTGATGGGCACTGAGGGGTACACTTGACGGGATGAGCACTGGGTGTTATTCTGTATGTGGGTAAATTGAACACCAATAAAAATTAATTTATAAAAAAAAAAAAAACCCTGCTATCTGCAATTGGATTTCCTGGAACTTCCAATACATTTGATTTTCTTCTTGGCTCCAGAGAGAATGTAGAACTCATCCCTACTGCATCAGAGTATAGTGAGTGTTCAGGGAAGGGCTGAGGACTTTATGTGAACAATGAGACTCAGGCACAGAATTATTTATTTTCTGTGAAGAGACACTCTTTTGTGGTTGATTTAAAATTGAAAAGGCAAAAAAAGAAAAAAAAAGAAAAGAAAAGGCACCTAGTTGGCTCAGTGGGTTGAGTGACCAAATCTTGATTTCTGCTCAGGTCATGATCTCCCAGTAGTGGGACCAAGCCCAGGTCAGGCTCCATGCACCACATTGGGCTCCACCCTCAGTGTAGAGTCTGCTGCAGATTCTCTCTCCCCCTCCTCCCCTTACTCATGCTTTCTCTCTCTCTCTCTCTCTCTCTCTCAAATAAATAAATAAATAAATAAATAAATAAATAAATAAAATCTTTAAAAAAGAAACTGAAAGGGTCAGGTATAGTGATGCTGGCAATTCTCTATACTACAAAAGAAGAATACTATGTGAAACATTTAAAAATATGGCTATCCATATCTTTCCAGAAAATCTCTTTAAATTACAGAAAGTAAAAATATTGAAGACTACATACAATGACTATAATAAAACAAAAAAAAGTGTAAGTGTAAACAAGAGAAAAGCAACCTCTTGGGATGTTACAAAGCACTTTCTTAACTTTAACATCCAAAAGGAAATTAAAAATCAAAATTGTAAACATATAGGAAATAATAATATAAATACTATATCAACCTTGTGATAAAGTACACTTTGTTAATAACAAGAAAGAAGGGAATTTTTGAAAATAGAAAATAGAAACAGAAAAGAATATTGAAACAAACCTTAGAAATATAAGAAGGAATTAACAAAAACACAAGATAAATTTTATACATTGAAGAAAGGATAAATTAATATAGTAATTGGTTTAAACTGCCAAATAAATTACTGACTAGTCTAATCAAAGAAAACCAGATCCACAAAATGTCATGCCACAACTCACATGCCAAAATGGCTACATATTATAACAAAAAGTGTTGGGAAAAATTCAGACATGACGGAAACTCTAATATACTGCTTGCAACAGTGGAAATTGGTAGGACTATGTTGTAAAACTTTGTCAGAATCCACTGAAGCTGAACACACACAAATCTGATGACCCAGAAAGTTTATATTTATATTCTTTAAAGAATATGAACTAAAACACATGTACAAGAATGCTTATAGCAGTATTATTTGTAGTACCCCCCAACTAGAAAACTCAAATGTCTACCAACAGCAATTTTATTAAAAAAAAACAAAAAAACAAAAAAAAAAAACAAAAGAAAACAAAAAGAGAGGCTCCTGAGTGGCTCTGTCAGTTAAGTGCCTGACTTGATCTCAGCACAGGTCCTGAGTTCAAGCCTGGAGTTGGGCTCCACACTGGGCATGGAGCCTACCTAAAAAAAAAAAAAAAGAGAGAGAGAGAGAGAGAAGAAGAAAGAGAAAGAAGAAAGAAAGAAAGAAAGAAAGAAAGAAAGAAAGAAAGAAAGAAAGAAAGAAAAAGAAAGAAAGAAAGAAAGATGATGGAATCATTACACTGGCAAAGTATATGGAAATGAAAAGGAACAAATGACTACAACACTAATATGGATGAATCAGTAGGGAGGCAGGGAGTTAAACAGCTGTCCTGAGATACATTTGCTCAGTTTACCAAATAACACTCTCAGGGGAAAAAAAGAAAAGTGACTCAACCTGATTCCTTTGCAAATATGCTACGAATCTTATCTCTCGGTAAACAGACTAATGATATCTCCTGCAAGGAATATACTTATCTCTTGAATGTCCTTAACAGGATGTTCCTGGCTAAGGATTACTTAGGATAAATAAATACGGATCCTATGGATTCATGAGCACATCTTCAGCAGGAACTGTCATGTAAGCTGACCGCCTTAGTCTGCTCAAGATGCCATACAAACCATGAAGTAGGACAACAGAAATGTATTTCTCACAGTTCTGGAAGCTGAGAAGTCCAAGAACACTGTGCAGTAAGGTAAATTTCATCCTGAGGCCTCTTCTCTTGTTTTGTAGGGGGCAGCCATCTCATGGTGCTCTCCCATGACCACTTCTTATATGTTCATGGGCGGAGAGTAAGCTCTCCGGTGTCCCTTCTTATATGAATGCTTGTCGTCTTGAATTAAGGTCCCACTCTTATGACCTCACTTAACCTTAATTACTTCTTTCAAGGCCCCATCTCCAAGTATAGTCATATTCAGTGAACATATGAGTTTGGGGGGGGGGTGGCACAGTCAGTCCATAGCACTGACATATAAAGGTTCCATTACATAATCACTCTTCAATATGTAAAGTGGCCCATAAACTTCATAAAACAACTCTGCTTGTTGTTTTTATACAGAAACATATGTCTAATAAGCAAAGCAAGGACTAGGAGACACACAGAATATTCTTGCACCCTTTCTGCCTTCTCTGAGATTTCTGATTGCCTTTATCCCTGAAATTATTACCCAAACCTAATACTGGGTAAGATATCTGATTTGTAGAGGTCTTATTTTATAAACCAATCCCTGGTTTAGCTCAGTCCCCCAAACATAATATTGAACATAAGAAGCCAAGCAGAAAAGAGTACATATTTTGATATGATTCCATTTATATAGAATTCAAAAACAAGAAGTAATTAATGTTGACACAAGCCAAAGCAACAATTAACTTGGGTTGGTAATAAGCTGAAAGAATCAGCAAGGAGTCTTTTGAAACGATAATAATCTATTTCTTCATCTCACTAGTGGCTGTATTAGTGTGTCTAATTTACAAAAGTTTGTCAGTTGATACATTTATCAGTTGTGCACTTCTCTGTTTATGGGTTATACTTTTTTTTTTTTAGATTTTATTTTTTTATTCATGAGAGACACACAGAGAGAGGCAGAGACACAGGCAGAGGGAGAAGCAGGCTCCTTGCAGGGAGCCAGATGTGGGACTTGATCCCGTGACCCTGGGATGACACCCTGAGCCAAAGGCAGATGTTCAACCGCTGAGCCACCCAGGCGTCCCTACGTGTTATACTTCAATATAAAGTTTTCTTAACTGATCCATGATTGTCAACATCATGACATAGCCAGGTAAATTTACCAAAGATCAACAAGAAAACATTTTAAACGTTTGGGGCAGCCAGGAAGAAAGATCAAATCATCCAAAGGGAAACAATAAAAGCAAGTAAGTCTGGCCCTAGGTTTTCCACAGCAACATCGATAGTGTGGAAACATTACAAAATCGCCCCTCCCCAAAAATTATATACTCTGATGATCATTCAAGTATAAAGACCACAAACCATTAGTTTGGAACATGAAAATACTCAAGGATTATCATTCCCAGGGTCCCTTCTTTTAAATGGATAGACATTAATAACTATTTCAGAGAAGAAATATAAATAGCCACTACCTATAGACTTGCTAGTAATCAGGAATAAGCACGGAAGAAAATGAGAAACAATCCTTTGACTATCAGATTGCAAATATTCTAACATTTGATATTACCAACTAGTGGCAAGAAGATAGGGAAATAGGCATTTCTATAACACTCTTGGGGATAGTATAAAAGCTTTTGAGAGGTATCTATCAAAGTGTGAATGTAAATAATTCTTAAACAACAATCCTACTTCCATGAAGTTACTATTAAAAAAGCATTTTTGTGTACAATTATATTCATAAATACATTACAAAAGCATTATTTATAAAAGAAAATACTGGAAACAATGTCCTTTAGCAGAAAAATAAGTAACTTAATTTTGATCTTTTGATATAATGGATACAATGGGAAACCGCTGGATCTAGTACCAATCAAGAGGAGTTCAAGCTTTGGTTTCAAGAGAATCTAACAATCTTTAGGTTTGCTGTCTCTCTCTCTTTCTCTCCCTTCTCCTTCTACCTTTCCTCATCCTCCCTTACTCCTTCTCCCACACAAACACACTCCAGAAAACTGTAAATGCTACTTTTGGCCATGCTTGGATCTCAGCAAACAATGTGTGGCCAAGTTTCAGTCTGGGTCACCCAGTGATAAGGAGATTCTTTCTTAAAGAGATGAGTCAAAATCCCCCAAACATTCAGGAGAAAACTCTATATAAGGTTATCTGATTAAACCTACCTTCACATCGAAAAACTTCACATTCCTTAATGGAAATAATTTTATCTTTTTCATGCTTTTGATGTCCCTCATTTGAAACTTGAACTTTCAGTTGAAGTTTCTTAATTGTATCTAATGTCATAGTCACTTTTTTTCCATCCAGATTTAAGAGGAATTCTAAACAATTATCTTCCTTGTACAGACAGAGAAATGTAGATGGTGAATATGCACCTATTTCGCATTCTGAAATTTCATTCTTTTGAAAGGCAAATAGGACAATGGGAATTTTGTCACCATATTCCTGGTAACTGTCTTTTATATATGCCCCAAAAATATCATGTGCACTATAAATCACCATCACAGTAGGCCCTTGGTTATTGCATCTCTTGTACACATTATATCCAGAGAAATCATGGACACTTGCTTTATAGAGAAGGGTAAACCGTTTTCCTCCAAAACAACTTTGCAGCTTCTTTTGTTGCATCTCTGTCAAACAAGTTGTCACTGCCATACTTCTCAATCTAGTAGAAAATCAAACATATTTTCCATTAAATATTGAAAAACAGGTAACACATACTGTCACAAAGCTTACATTTGTGCCTCTTATTTACTCTACATTACACATAAGATGAAGAAATGAAGGATGATCAAATAGCAAGAAAAAATCTTTAACTAGCTTTTCATTCTAAATTATTTTTTTCAATTCAAAAAAGAAGACTTCTATTTGCAAGTGGCTAGGAATAGTGAAAAGCAGCAAGTCATTTACCTGTTTGTAGAATCTGTACAGGGACTGAAGCCGAGTATAGCTGCTCTGTCCTGACAGCTAAGCAGACACAAGATAGAAAGAAAATTCTTCAGCAACCTCCAGGCTTCAGGGACTCTGAGAAAAGGAAAATGAAACTCAGAAAGGCCCAGCCCACTTGGCCGGGTGCCACCTTCCTTCTGTGAGGGAGCACAAAGAGGCCCAGTTCAACATACACAGTCAAGTCAAATAAAAATATTAGGAAAGTCAAAGAATTGAAGTCAGAAGAAAACCTAACAGCTCACTAGATTTTTAAGTGACTTTTTGGAAAGAGAAATTCAATCAATTTCTCTATGTTGAAATACCAAAAAGTGCTGTCTATTCCTGCTCCAGGACACAGGCCTCAAAGTGTCCACTTTTCTGCTATCAACTTCCTCTCATCAGAGTCCACTGTTTCCTGTGCTGTTTGTTGTTGTTTGTTTGTTTTCCTGGGGATTTTTATTTATCTATTTGGTATTAAAATCCACTAGTTCTTGAGTAAGACATGCAGTCTGAAAACAACTTTCTTGAGATTTATTTCAGCCAAGAACCGTGGAGACTTCTGACTAGCTGTGACAGAGGAGCATCAGTCTCACACAGAGAACACTAAGGCAATACGTAAGGCTTTTGGAGATCAGCAAGTGTTGAGGACAATGTCACCACCATCTGGACACCTTCCATGCTCAGTTCCCACTGTTCCCTGACTCAGAGAAGCAGGAGACTCTTTTTCATTTTGCAGAAGGTCTCAAGAACTCAGGCTCAAGCAGGAGGGTCTAACATTGCCTGGCAAACAGCTGTCAGTTCACTAAGGAAGCCAGGGATCTTCATGTTCGACGAATCGCTTGTATCATCAGTGGAATGGACATTTTAAAAGCTTAGCTCTTAAAAAAAAATAAAATAAAAGCTTAGCTCTTTAATAATAAAGATACAAGACATGGAGATGGTCGAAGAGATCATTTGGTAGTCTGTACTTAGCCCATATTCTTTTAAGAGATCCTGTAGAATTGGCATTTAAGACACAGCTTTGAACCTCCCTCTTAACACCCCTCTACACACACCAATAATCCAATGATTATGCCCATAAGTTATGGCATTTGAATGAACAAGCACCTTCCAGAAAGTCATATTCCCAGCTCTCCTTCTCTTGAGCTTTTGGAAGACACCAACTCCCCACATGAGCTCAGAAGTGTGATAGGGCCCACTAAGGACCTGTGTTGGAGGATGCCTCAGTAGTTCAGTCCGTTAAGTGTCCAACTCTTGATTTGGGTGCAGGTCATGACCTCAGGGTGGTGACATCGAGTCCCGCATGGAGCTGTATGCTGGGTGTGGAGTCTACTTAAGATTTTTTCTCTCTCACTCTCTCTTTGCCCCTTCCCCTTCTCCCTGCCTGTGCATGCATGTTCTCTTTCTCTCAAGAAAAAAAGAAATCCATTGTTTTAAAAACTTTGAAAATTATATTTTCACACCATTATTTAACATAGCTTGTTATTCTTCTGCATCTCCACTCCCATTCCTACAGTCTCTACCTGCAGTCTTGCTTATGCTTGTCATTCCTGTCCTGGAGTCTGGAAGAGCTCAAATCCATTGTGTGAGCTGTACCGGGAAAGGAAGGGGAGGGGGCATGCAGCTGGATATTGACCATAATCCTAAAATCTCTTGTCTGGCCGGCCCCTGCAGTCTGCATTTTCTCTAACATCAGAAAAAGGTTTTGCAAAGGTTTGCAACTAGTATGCAAGTTTCCATCTTGTTCAGATTGATGGCAAAAATCAGATCTACTTACATCTACTATTCTCTAAATCGGCCCAGAGATTCATCACATTTGGGATGGGATCTGGGGACTTCCAAATTCCCACAACTTTTAGGAGCACCATGAAGACTTCAATCAGCCTTGTTATCAATATAGCTGCTTTAGCATCAGATTGAGTTTTGTCACTTCAAGATGATTACTCGTCAGCTGGTATCTGAAGCATCTGAGGGTTTATCTGAGTCTCTCAATCAACTTTGTTGTATTCAATGTGGACTTGCATTTTTTTTATGAAAAAGCAACATGTAATCTTTAAATTTAGCTTTCTAAAAAAGACAGGCTTACACACCACTCACCGTAATACCATCTTGGTATATTATTAAGGTGGATGCTGGGTGAATTTGTACCATGCCGCAAACTTCTGTCAGAAACAGCCACTTTTACTTTACTTTCCCCGCCCCCAGCTTTATTAAGATATAATTGATACAAGCAGACTTTTAGACATAGAGAACTGATGGTTGTTGGAGGGGAGGCAGGCAGGGAGATGGGTTCAACAGGTGATGGGCATTGAGGAGGGCACTTGTAACAAGGACTGGGTGGTATATATAAGGGATGAATCACTAAATCCTACTCCTAAAATTCATAGCACACTCTATGTTAACTAACTGGAATTTAAATGACAACTTGGAACTGTGAACAAGATTCATTCATTACAATTAAAAGATAAATCAATAAATAGGACTCAAGAAAGTTGTTTTCAGACTGCATGTGTTTCTCAAGAACTAGTGGATTTTATTACCAAATAAATAAATAAAAATCCCCAGGAAAACAAACAAACAAAAAGATATAATTGACATATTAAAATTGTGTAAGTTTAAGATATTCGATGAGATGATTTGATGCATGTATATATTGCAAAATGGTTAGCACAATAAGGCTAGTTAACACATCCATTACCTCAAATAATTACCTTTTTTGTACATGTGGGGAGAACATGTAAGACCTACTCTCCTAGCAACTTTCAGGTATGTAATATCTCATTGTTGACTACAATCACAGTGTTGTACATCAAATTCCCAGAACATTCTCAGCTTATAACTGGATATTTGTACCCTTCGAATGACATGACCCCATTCCCCTCACCCCTCAGCCCCAGGCAACCATCATTCTACTCTGTTTCTATGAGTTTGGCTTTCTAAGATTTCACATGATAAGTGAGATCATGCAGTATTTGTCTTTCTCTGACTTATTGTCCTTAGCATAATGCCCGTAAGGTCCATCCATGTTGTCTCAAATAGCAGAATTTCCTTCTTTTCATGGCTGGAGAATATTCCAGTGTGTGTGTGTGTGTGTGTGTGTGTGTGTGTGTGTGTGTGTTTAATATTCTTTATCCATTCCTCTGTCAACAGGCACACTTAGGTTCAGAAAGTCATTTTTTAATGCCACAAGCCAACCCACCCAGCCACCTACCACACAAAGTCTCTTGCACTGATGCTTAAATTGTCTCCAGCATCCCTTTCCCTTCAGGTGATGTTCTACTTCCCACTATGTTTGTGCTTTATCGACAATGTCCCTTCACATTGTTTTGTTAATACATATTTTAGTGACTTTGGCTGGACTGTACCTGTATGTACAGGTATTATGTAAATTATGTAAATTATGTAAATTTTCCAAATCCTGGGTGGCCTCTAATGTGTGGCAAAGTGGTAAGTCCTCCTGTTAGGATGGTAAAGAAAAATCAGCAGAATCCTCAAAGTCAGGAAAGGTCCTTTCCCAGATAAAAGAGGAGTCTCCCTTTTTAAGGCCCCCCCCACCAACCTTTTCCAGCCTAAGTCCCAAATATACATTTAATCCCATTAAATGTTTAAGTATCCCCAAAGTAGTACAGTAGTGAAGGATTAGAAACTGTGACATCCTTTACCTAACACTGTCCTTTTTAACACACAAAGAAAGGGGGGAACTTAGCCTCAATTTTACACTCTCAAACGATGTTGATCCACCTGGACAACCCCTCATTGTTTCTCTCTCTTGATCTCTCCGTTATTCCTCTTTCTTTCAAGGTCTCCATCTCCTTCATGAGGGTATTCCAGGCTACCCCTTCAGAGTAAAGAAGTTCCACTTTGAGTCTAATTTCACATCTAGCAAAACTTTCCTCTGCTCAGATTTTTGCGGAGTCCCCCTGGAGATTGATGAGCTATGGCCTGATAGGTGGTGACGTCCAGTAACAGGTCTTTAATCATCTTCAGTCTTCTAACCGAGAGTCATGGCTTGTTTTTGTCGTCAATTATGTGGAGAAAACACATCTTACTCTTTGGACCTGTTCCTCCCTACATCCACTTCCCAATCATCCTGGCTGGAACTCTACTTCTGTTTCCAATATCCACTTCTGGCTCTCCCTTTCAATATCTGACCATTCTATTCCTTTCTTTTAAAGACCCTCCCCATCACTTCCGCTAAATCATGAATCCTGAGCATTCATTTGAGCACAGCCTTACCTCTAGGTTTGCTTTAGGAAATAGTTCTTTTTCCATAACTCTCCCCAAGGAATTTTTGCCCTCATAATACACAGGACTTCCCAAAGAAGACAATAATTCTGACTAAAAGTACATTAGATAGCTTTAATATCAATAACTATTGAACCAAAGTCTATTCATTTGAAAAATACAAAGAAATTTGGACAAGAGAGTTAGGGTTTTGGGGGCGGAATCTAAAACCTATCTTCTGAAATTGTTTTTTTTCTTTACTAAACAGTCCTAACTTCTACAGCTGCCCAGAGGAACTTACAATCACTTACGGGCACTCGTATAGGGTAACCTTCTCATTGACTTGCACTAGTAACCTCATTTGATCACTGGACTCAGGAGACATGATGAGGATGGTTTGGAATTCAATTCATGCAAGTCAGGTATAGGTTCATTAAAGGAAGAAACTCTTGGGTTTTTTTTTTTTTTTTGCAGAAATAACTTGTAATACATGTAAGTTCTTAAGAAATATTTGCTCCTTTTAATTAGCTTAAGTTCATATCTTCATCTGGAGATAAGTGAAACATTCTCCTTCCTCTATGTACATTTCTTCTCTCCTACATTTCTTTCTCTTCCAGTCTTCATTTCTGTAAGGAGAAAAATTTTAAGTACCTGTTACACCCAGGGGAAGTTGGGAGGAATGCATAATGGCAAGCATGCTTACATGCTATCAGGCACTGTGCTAAATTCTATGAATACAAAGTTATGTAAAAGCCAAACCCTACTTCTTAAAGAACTCACCATCCATTTAGGGAAGTGACTATCCATTTTTAAATTGTTACTCCATGTGTTCATACTCACACAGAGTTTTAAATAAAGTGCTGTAGGCAAATAAGTAAAGGGCTAGTCCATTTTGCTGGGGAGGTTGAGAAGAGTGTCTCAGAAATTAAAATCCTAAACGGTGGTTTGGGGATCCCTGGGTGGCACAGCGGTTTGGCGCCTGCCTTTGGCCCAGGGCGCAATCCTAGAGACCCGGGATCGAATCCCACGTCGGGCTCCCGGTGCATGGAGCCTGCTTCTCCCTCTGCCTGTGTCTCTGCCTCTCTCTCTGTGTGACTATCATAAATAAATAATAAAAAAAAAACTAAACGGTGGTTTGCAGTAGGGCATATCTTGGCCCACTTCTGCTCAGGGTTGGCCTTTGAACTTGAGATATGACTGATCCCAGAAGACACCATCAGTTAGATGCTGTCAGGGACTCTAGGCAAAACATGAATGAAAGCAGGTCATAAGGAGGCTGTCAGCAGAGATGGACTCTAACTGGGGCATGCCAATCCATATTTAGGCCAAGTATCAGAACCAAGGCAACTGGTGTCACATGCAGAGCTGAAATATTCCTACAATTTTATCTGAAAACAAAATAGAATAGAAACAAAGCAGATATCCTAACATAGCTATTAGGTCTAGAGCAAGCAAATCAGCACCAGCCATCCAGTGAGGTAGAACTCCGAGATTTTCTAAAAGCACCATGCTTTATGAGAAGAGCAGAAAGGGGCCAGATTACCTGTTTCCTCAAGAGGCAGATCCTCTAAGAAGTCATCTACTATCCGTAACATCTGCCTTAGCACAAAGAGGATCTGAGTGTCCTTTAAAGGGTCCAGCTCCCATTCTGATGTATAATTTTCAACCATGAAGGTATTATAAATAGGAACACTTAGCATTTTGCTGACATCCATTATCTGTGGAAAAATTGATAAGCATAACTCATCTGAAAATTGACTGAATTCAAATGTAATTCAAGAAAGAAACTGAAAAGGCAATAGCTTGATAAATTCGCTTCTGAATATAATCACAATGCAAGTAATTATTGTTTTAAGCTGGGACTTAAACTTGAATTAACCAGGCAATTGAATCATTTCTTCATTTACCTGTAAGTATGTAATATAAACACACACAGAGACACACACACATTCACACATACACTATTAACACCATTATAAGAATTCCTGGTTAAAAATATATTCTTTACCTGGCTTTGAGAAGTCATAGCTTTAGCCATGTTTAAAAAGTTGTCTTGAGGAAGGGTACTGCAATTATCCATGTTAGTAAACAAGAGTACACATGCGATACCTACAGCAAAGAAATAAATCAATTATTTTCTATCATAAACAGCAATGTGTCAACAAGGTAATTAAGCACATGTGAAAGCAGCTTTCTATCAGATGAGGATCTAACAAATGAAATATCCCCAATAAATGAAAATATGAACCTGAAGTTCTTCTAATAGAAGAAATGATCTTTTTCTTTCAACACGAGAGATCATTCCTAATGCAACTAAATGCGCATTACATTGCAATCATCTACTATTCCAAATAGTGTGTTATAAAGTGATCTGAAGGAGGGGAGGGTGAAAGTGGTTGCTGCACACTGAAGACTGAGAAAGAACCCCAGAAAGTGAGGAGGGTTATGAGTGAATATCTGTAAAAAGAAGACACATATTTCTCAGTTCTACTAAAGACCTCTTGCCCTCTCCCAATTGGCTTCTAACTGAATCAAAGTTCTGCTTCACTAACAAATGCTTCCCCAGGAAAATATATAAAACCAAGATTCATTTTCATTTTCTTTGATAAATACCCAAAAGTAGAATTTCTGGATTGCTTGGTACTTCTATTTTTAATTTTAATTTTTTGAGGAACCTCTAGACTATTTTCCCAGTTTCAACAGTTTGTATGCCCACTAATGGTGTACAAGTATTCCCTTTTTTTTTTTCACATCCTCACCAATACTTGTTATTCCCTGTCTTTTTGTTAACAGTCATTCTAGCAGGTATGATATGATACCTCATTATGGTTTTATTTAACATTTCCTTGATGATTAATGATGTTGAGCATCTTTCCAGGTACCTTATGGCCTCCTGTGTATCTTCTTAGGAAAGCTATTCACTTGTCTTCTGCTCATTTTTAATCAGATTGTTTTTTATGTCTTGTTTTGGTTTTGATTGGTATGAATTCTTATATATTTTATCTTTTTAAAGATTTATTTATTTTAGAGAGATAGAGTGAGAGCAGAGAGAGAGGGAGAGAGAGAGAGAGAGAATCCTCAAGCAGACTCCCCACTGAGTGAACGCAGAATCCAACTTGAAGCTCGATCCCAGGACCCTAAGATCACGACCCGAGTCAAAATCAAGAGTCAGACACTTAACCAACTAAGTCACCCAGGTGCCCCTTTATTTATTTTTGATATTAATCTCTTATCAGTTACATGGTTTGCAAATATTTTCTTTCATTCAGTAGGCTGCCTTTTTTATTTTACTGATAGTTTCCTTTGCTGTGCAGAAGCTTTTTAGGCTGCTGCAGTTCCATTTGCTTATTTTTGCTTTTGTTGCTTTTACTTTTGATGTCAGATTCAGTAAATCATCTCCAAGACCTATGGTGAGGAGCTTACCACCTATGTTTTCTTTTAGGAGTTTTATGATTCTAGGTCTAACTTCAAGACTAAAATCCATTTGGAGTTGATTTTTGTGTATGGTGTAAGATAGTGGTTGAGTTTTGTTCTTTTGCATGTGGCTGTCTAGTTTTCCCAACATCATTTATTGAAGAGACTGTCTTTTGCCACTGTATATTATTGGCCCCTTTGTCATAAATCAATTGACCAAAATGTGTGGATTTATTTCTGGGCTCTCTATTCTGTTCTATTGATTTATATTCATTTTTATGTTAATACCACACAATGCTTCCAGCCTTGTTCTTCTTTCTCAAATTGTTTTGGCTCTTTGGGGTCTTTGGTGGTTCCATACAAATTTTAGTATTGTTCATTCTATTTCTATAAAAAACACCATTGGAATTTTGATAAGGATAGCACTGAATTTGTACGTTGCTTTGGAGGGTATGTGCACCTTAATATGAATTCTTCTAATCTCTAAGTACAGAATATCTTTCTATTTATTTGTGTCTTCTTCGATTTCTTGCACTAACATCTTGTAGTTTTCAGTATGCAGGTCTCTCATTTCCTTGGTTAAATTTATTCCTAGATATCTTATTCTTTTTGATATAATTAAATTATTAAATGTAAACTCATTATTAGTATACAGAAATGCAACAGATTTTTGCATATAAATTTTGTATGCTACAACTTTACTGAATTTATTAGTTTTAATAGTTTTTTCGTGAAGTCTTTAGGATTTTATAATACAATAACTTGTCATCTGCAATTAATGACAGTTTTACTTCTTTTCCAATCTGGACATCTTTCAGCTTTTCTTCAGTAAGTATGACATTAGCTGTGGGTTTGTTATATATGGCCTTTATTATGTTGGGATAGCATTCCCTCTATACATGCTTTGTTGAGAATTTTTATCATAAGTGGATGTTGAGTTTTGTCAAATTATTTTTCTGCATCTATTGAAATGATTATATGATTTTATCCATCATTTTGTTAACTTGGTATGTCACACTGACCTCATGGAACCAATATGCGTTTCCCTATTCTTCTTTCTAAATACAATTAGAAACACTAGACATTATTTATAATCAAACACAAATATTGAAAGGTGAAGAGAAGAATTAACACTGGGAAAGGACCTCAGGATCCAGGGAACAATATGGTGGTGAGTTCTCTAGATTTTCTTTTTTACTTCATAAATCCTATATTGGCTGCTGAAGAGCACACTATGGAAAAAGCCAATTGGAGATGGTGAAAGGAAAAGGAATGAAAGGAACAAAATGGGAAGGAAAGGGAAAGGGAAGAGGTGGAGAAAGGGAGGAGAAGGCAGGAAGACTGCTGTCTCTAACCAAGCATGAGAAAAGAAGCAACCTAGCAAGATAGAAAACTTTCACACAACAGATACACTATCCCAGCAAAATACCAAGAAAGAGCTGCAGTCCCATCCACAGAAGTGTCTCTTCCCTTCTCCATCCTCCACACTATGCCAGGATAGTATCACAGAAGAAGAACAAGTAGGGAGCCAGGACTTTTATACCTGTAATTTGCTAGGTCCCTCTTGATGGTATCAATGGAAGCTACTTGGGGTTCCTGGACTTCTACCCCAATCATTAGGGTAGGGTGCTCCCACCCTTTTTACCAGTGTCAGAGGAGGCCAACCGAAACAGCAAAACTTTAATCACCATTCATCCAGTCTTAAGAAGGCTCCTAGCCTCCCTTGGTATCAGTGAAGGTCATATGGGGAGGAAGAACAAAGTTTGCTTCCCCTTGAAGGTGTCAACCAAGGCCTAGTGGGGAACCTACACTTGCAGATCCACAAGCACAGTGTCACAAGAGGTCTGCTAAACACAAGATTTAAATAAGATCCAGGGGCACCTAGGTGGCTTAGTCGGTTGGGCATTTGACTCTTGATTTTTGGCTTGGGTCATAGTGTCAAGGTCATGGGATGGAGCCCCGAGTTGGGCTCTGCACTCAGTGTGGAATGTGCTTGTCCCTCTCCCTCCCCTCACTTGTGCTCTCTTTCTCAAATAAGTAAAATCTTAAAAAAGAAAAAGAAAATAAATAAGATTCAGAGTCTCATTGTATTATACACCAAACATTAAAGGTGTAAACAAGAATCACTTGTCATACCAAAACCAAGAAAATCTAATCAAATTTATAGAATGTACACATAATTTTCAAGCATCCATGGAACATTTACCAAAATATACTATAGACTAAGACATAATTTAATTTCAAGAGCAATTTAAAGAATTTAAACCAGAGTGTGTCCTTTGACCATAATGGATCAAACTATAAGTCAGTAACCAAGTGGTAACAAGAAAAACCCCAAGCACTTAAAAACTATACAAAACATTCTAAATAACTATGAGTCATAAAGGAAGTTTCAAGGGAAAGAAAAAAATACATTAAACTGGAAGATAATAAAGATACAGCACATCAAAATCTGTGTAGATCACTGAAGAACTGTTTACAGGAAAATGTGTAGGACTCAATGCTTATAATAGAAGAGAAAAAAAGTCCAAAATCAACAATCTAAGTCCCTCCCCTCAAAAACCTAGTAAAAAGAAAGCAAATTATATCCAAATCAGGAAGATGAAAGAAATCCAAAAGAGCAGAAATCAATGAACAAATTGAAAAGAGAAAAACAATTTAAAAATCGATGAAATAAAAACATGGTTCCTTGAAAAGATCAATACAATTGACAAACTTTTAGAAATAGTGTCAGAACAAAAGATAAGACACAAATCACTAACATTAGGAAGGACACAGGGGATATTCCTACACACCCCACAGACATAAAGGAATAATAAGGAAATGCTATGAACAACTCTACACACATAAATCTGACAACTTGGATGGAATAGACTGAACTAAAAACTACAAACTATCCCAATTTGCCTAATATGAAATAGATTATTTTAATAGCTTGCTAACTATTTTAAAATTAATTTTTTGATATTAAAAACGTTAAAAAAGAAATCTCCATACTCAGATGATTTCATTGAAAAACTCTACCAAACATTTTAATAGAAATTAACACCAATTCTTCACAATCTCTTCAAGAAAATGGAAGAGGAGGGGCACCTGGGTGGTTCAGTGGCTGAGCATCTGCCTTTGGCTCAGGTCATGATCCCAGGGTTCCTGAGATCAAGTACTGTATCAAGCTCCCCGCAGGGAGCCTGCTTCTCCCTCTGCCTATGTCTCTGCCTCTCTCTGTGTGTCTCTCGTGAATGAGTGAATGAATGAATGAATGAATGAATGAATAAATAGTGGAAGAGGAATACTTTCCAACTCATTTTTTGAATTTAGTGTACTCTAACACCAAAACCTGACAAAAACACCAACCAGGGGCGGGGGAACTACAGATCAACATCTTTCATAAATACAGATATAAATATTTTAACAAAATATTATCAATAAGATTCAGCAATATGTGAAAAGAAAAACTGCATGATTATATCAATCTGTGGGGAAAAGCTATTTGATAACATTCAACAGCCATTCATGGTAAGGAAACAAAAACTCTCAGAGAACTAAGAATAAAGAACTTCCTCAAACTGACAAAGAACAACTGTAAAAAAGCCTATTGCTGTATTTATAATGGTGAAACAGAATATTTTCCTCCTAAGATCAGAAACACCACAGGGTTATCTGCTCTCACCACTATTACTCAACATACTGGAACTTCTAGGCAGAACAACATGACAAGCGAAGAAAATAAAAGGCATACAGATTAAAGAGAAAGACAAAATTACCCCTATTGAAAATGTCATGAAAATCGAAAAAAATAAAAATCCTTTCCTAGAACTAATAAGTGAGCTCAGCAAGGCCACAAGAAACAAGATCTGCGTGCAAAATTATATTGTAATATGAGGTACCAGCAATAAGCATCCGGAAATCAATACACATATGATACCATTTTAAAAAATTAAACACTTAGGTATAAATCTAATAAACATGTACAGAACTTGAATCTTAAAAAATGTGGAGCACTTTTGAAAGAAATCAAAGATATGAATAAATGGATAGACCTAGTATGTTTACGGATTGGAAGACTCCACAGAGTAAGATGTCAATTCTCCCCAAACTGATATATGTGTTTAATATAATTACTATCAGTATCCAATCAAGTTTTTGTTTTTTTTTTTTGTAGAAATAGTCAAAGTAATTCTAAAATTCCCATGGAGGAGGAATTGAAGATGGCAGTATAGGAAAATTGTGAACTCACCTCCGCCTGGAGACACAATAAATTTATAGCTACATATGAAATAATTTTCTCTGAAAAGGACCCGACAACCAGATGAATAATATCTCTACAACAAAAAAACAAAAGTAGTACATCTAGAAGGGTATGAGAGGCAGAGACACTGCCTTACCCAGGACCCCACTCCAGATGCAGTGACCCTACAATCAGGTGGGATTCAAAAAAATATGAACTCTTTCTCAAGGAATAAAGGGAATGTGCCCCACATCAGGCACCACAACCCTGGGGGTCGGCACCAGAAAGACAAGTCCCCACAATATCTAGCCTTGAAAATCAATGGGGATTAAGACCAGGAGAATCATAGAACTATAAAGAACAGAGATCCCAATCCTAAAGGGTTTCCACACGAACCCAATCACCCTGAGATCTAGTAAGAAAGCAACAGACTGGAAAGCACCTAGATTGTAAGTCAAGGAGACCCACTCACTACTTTTAAATGTACACATGTAATAAAACAATACAGAGCCACACACACACATTATAACAGTGTCGATTTCCTGGTTTTGATCAGGTCACATAATGTGGGGAGGTGACTATCCTACCAAGCCACTGGAACATCACATGTGACAAAAAAAATATATGATATGAATGATCTGTGTCTGCTATTGCCACCAACCAACCCAGGACTCAGGAAGTAGGGTATAGAGTGCATAGGCCCTCTCTGAACTCTCTTTCCAACTTCCTGTGAATCTGTGATTATTTCAAAATTAAAGGTTTTTCATAAGGATAATGAGACTCACCACATTTCAAGACTTCTTTTTGAATTTCTTTTAACTTTGCCACCATCTTAGAGGAGAGATCTTGGATAGAGTTGATATCTAAGACATAAGCCACACAGTGAATCCTGTCCTTCAGTGATGGAGAGGTGATGAAGGTAGGATGATTGGGTGTAATTGGTCTTTTGGGGTTCAACTGATATAGAAACATAAGATAACATTTAGAGATTATTAACTGAGTTCTTTATGACACATTCATGCTTCAAATGCAACTACCACTAACCTCCAACTTCTCTTCCTCTAGCCACTCTTCCCTCAAGTTAATAAGTAGTACCCCTTCCATAATTCCTCTCCACTATGAGTGTAATGTTATTATATCTTTCTTATTGGAAAAAAAAAAACACTTCATTGCATTGGTGAAAATGAGAATTATACATACTTGATATTATCCATACTGGAAACATTTCAGGAAAGTACAAACTATTTAAAAAGCTAGTTTCACATTCCAGTCTCCAGAAAAACAAAACAAACAAAACAAAACAAAACAAACAAAAAAAAAACTACCATTGATATTGGTTACACATCATTTAGGACTTATCTCTAAATATTTTGTGTACTTAAATGGACTAATGGATAGAGAAAAAAGGAGAGTGAAAAATAGATGGAAAATACATTTTAAAATAAAATACTATAATTTCTTAAATTTTACAGAAGAAAAAGAAATTAAAATAAAACAGAAGAAATACCAAATTTCAAGTTATTATCTCCTTACCACCGAACAATCATCTTTCTAGGATTAAGAAAATAGATTTAAAAGTATCGTGAAGGGCTACATTCATTATTTTTTTACCCATATGTTTCAATGTTGGATTGAACTGACTGCCTCTCTGTTGTGAAAAATGAAGGTTCTCATAGGTTCACAATATCTCCCATCTCTCTGCTCTGTTCCATCTCCCTGTAACTTATGTCTCCTTGGATTGTGAGGATAAGAATTATGTTCTTAGTCAGTTATGTGTTTCCAGTAACTAGCATAGTGTCTGGCACAAATTAGGTTTTTAATCGTGGTTTTTAAATATATAAGTACATAATTAAGGTTTCCAATCAAGCACACACGAAAGGCAACAGAATTCACTGTTCAGAAATTGAGGCTGATTGTATTATACCTAATGCCTAAAAGAAAGGTGACAATAATGGTTGACCTTTTGAGAATTTAAAGTACCTCATCTCATTTATCTTCTCAGGCACCCGATGAAATGGGTATTATTATTATTACCTACATTTTACATGTGAAAAATTAAAACTTACAGAGACAAGTGTATAACTTGCTTATGGGTACACATCGAACTCGTGGCAGAGTCAACATTTGAATGTAGGTGTTTAAGTAGCATTTAAGTGTGATTCCTAAGTACTGACAGTATAACAATACAACACTTCAACAAAAAGTGTTTGTTCCACGATTTTGTCTGATTGATCAAAAAAGTGCATGAGATTAAACTATTATTTTCCTATCTTTTACAATTTTACAATATTGTAAAGAGTGATATAAACACGACTTCTTCTTGTCCTTTTTCTAGAATCTGTATGAGTAAAATTCTGCCTTTTGGCTGTATTTCTTCTTTCTTTTTTTTTTTCCTCTGAGGTCCCATTTTTTTAAGTAATCGCCATATTCATTGTGGAACTCAAACTTATGACCCTGAGTTCAAGAGTCACAAGTTCTATCAACTGAGCCAGCCAAGCATCCCAGGCTTTATTTCTTATTGCTATAGAAAATAAGTTACTCTACTTTACCTATGTGAACACTTAATCACCCAACGTAGAATAGTATTGGTTGATGTTGAAGACATCTTAAAGACAGTTGAAACTGCCTTATGGGATAAAAATTTAACAAAAAGCATTGATGAAACTGATTTAAAACGTTTGAGAGATTGGAGAATTCTTACCTGGTATCTGTCTGGCACGCAGCCTTTTAAGATGTAGGGTATGTCTTCCATGCACAATCCTACTCCTTCTTTCTCATGTATCCCCATGGAGTCACACAAGCTAAATTGCAGACATGTGCCATATTTCCCGTATTTAATAGGATATATCCTATACTATAAAACAAAGTATTTCAAAGGTAAAAACTCATTCTTCAACTAGCATTCAAGACATGACAATAGGAAAAACAGAGAGTGGTTAATATTTTAACACTGTGGTCCTCAAACAACTTGGGGAAAAATTATTGAGAATCTCAAAGATATTTTATTTATGTAGGTTATATGTATTGATATTTAACATACTAAAAATTTTAAACTGAGCAAAATTTCAAATGAATTCTTAAATCATTTAAGAATACAATTATAAATCTGTTGCATATTAACCTAAAATGTATTTTTATGAAAAAAATAAATTCTCCAAAAAGCATTAAAAAGGGCAGGACCAATTTACTTTTTGCAATTCTCTTTATTATCTGGATTAATATAAGATGGCTAGATTCTCATATCTGCCTCTGAATTCAGTCTGTTCTGATATATCATTTCGGTTGAAGTGTATGAAGAAAATCTATCTCGCATACATGTATGTAGTAGGAAAAGGAAAGAGTGTTTAATTTAACAGCTTTCAGAGAATTGTGGCTATTCCTCATTAATAATCCATCAAAGCTCAATAAGTGATAATTTCTCCAAAGCTTAGCTACAATGTGGAATCTGTGACATTTTCATACTCAGCTACATTAAATTCATTGATCTATTTTATGCTTTGAATATATTTTTTACCCATGCATGACTTACTAACCCAATGCATTTGGTCACTTGAAAATATTGGTTCCTTGGCTTATCTAGATCTTCTAAATATTGGCACATTTCACCACACAATATTAAAACATCATATTTGTTACTAACACCATTAATTTCATCAGGTAAATCTTTCAGTTATGAAGTTAAGGAGCTCAAAGTGATGGATACAGGTTTCCCAAAGTTCTAATTTTCCTTAAAAGTTCAAATGTTATCACTGGCAACAAACATTGCTGGTTGGTTGCTTCTCTTGTAATGATATGCTGCTCACTTTGTGCATTGTCTATTAATGTCTACCAAATACCTAAGTATGAGTAAGCAAGTCCGTCAATCGTCTTCTCAATTAAAAATGACATTACATGAGAAAAGTTCAGTTCACACTCAATTGCACCAGTGTCTTTGCTTGACAACCACCATATCCTAATATACCTTAAAAACCCTTTGAATGTACTTCCAATTTTATCACACAAAATATTAAAATAACGTGTTCTCAAAAGTTGAGGTCTTTTTTTTTTTAAAGATTTTATTTATTTATTCATGAGAGACACAGAGAGAGAGGCCGAGATATAGGAAGAGGGAGAAGCAGGCTCCCTGCAGGGGGTCTGATGTGGGCCTTGATCCCAGGACCCCAAGATCATGACCTGAGCCGAAAGCAGACATTCAACCACTGAGCCACCGAGGCATCCCTCAAAAGTTGAGTTTAAATAAAATCAATAGTTGTTACTTAGTCATCAATTACATTCTTAAGTGAAATTAGCATTTTGTTTGTTTTTACTGCAAGTGATAAGAGCATACACAGTGATTACTAATAGTGCTTGGTGCCATTGCTTGATTCATGCTAAAGTGCCAGCCAACAAGTAAAACTACATTTGTATGATCAGTTCAAATGTCAGCATATGAGAATAAGCAAAACCATCTAAGTATTATTACACAAATAATTTTAAACTCACGGATCCCCTAAAATGCTCTCAGGAATCCTTAGGGGTCTGCAAACCTCACTTTGAGAAGCTCCACTTTAACAGGTCTTCTTTCCTAAAGAAACACACTCCATCTGATACCAAGAGTATTTTTCAGAACTCTGAAAATTTTTTATTGATCAAACACACTTCCACACAGGCACAAGTATGGAAGACATAGGAAGAATCACACAGAAACGTACTTCTCAGAGATAACAGACAACACCTGAATCACAATTCTCCTGTTCCAGACCCGGCAGTTGAGAACCCCTCTAAGATCCTACTGTAATCTGTAATGGGGTCAAAAGCTCCATTGGGCGATAAATCCAATGCCTAGGAGCAATCCCATTAGATATTCTGATCTAAGTGAAAGGGAACTACTACTGGTGCCTCCACCTGAAGGGACTTACCCAAAGCAGTCAAGTTACATACTTAAAGTGCGTTGTAAAATTTCAAGGTCAGTGGGCGCATTCATAGTCTTCATTAATCTGTTTTTTTCATAAATTTAATTCTTCAAAGAGAAAGGTCTCTTGAGAAATAAAATATTCTGTTTCCCTGACAAACATTCTGTCTCGTGTTCCTTCAGTTTATTTAGAAGTATTTGCCTTTCATTTGGACTTTCGGATCTATGTCTTCCCTTAAAGCCATGCCTTTGGAGCTTTCAACACGAAAAAGAGGGAGATCAATCCTGTTCTGATGAGTACCTTTATTACAGCATCCGTCACATTGAATAGTACTTATTTGCTTATTATCTACACTGAAATCCCTGAATAAAAAGACGAACTTCTATTTGTATTTAGGTCTTTGTTGCCAATACAATATTTAACAAATAGAAATATGTCAATCAACGCTTAGGGTATTGAATTACTGTTGCGATACCTTACTTCGGCTTCTGAGACTAGGCTAATATACCAAAATAAAGCCAGTCAAATAAGTAGAATCTAGTCAACATCAAGAAATAAGATGAGGTTCTTGAAGGTCTTAGAAAATGCTTTCAATTGTCAAATGTGACACAAAACTAAAATGGGCCATGACTGTCTTACGCTAAATTTTGCACTGACAGTGCACAGCGTATTTCCAATCAGTAGGCACTATTTGCTTGTAGCAGTCACAGAAAAACAGAGTTGGATTATGAAATGTTCTATTCTTTCGTCTTAATATTTTTACTTGAGTATGTAACATTGAAAAGCACAGAACGGAAGAAAGTTTTTCCACCGTACTTTGTAGATCTTTAGAGGAACAGTTTCAAAAATGATTTTAGTACTTAACATTTGTTAACAAGTAAGATGGTATTTGTAGGACCACTGATAGATTTACTCTTTGAGGGTTGACCCACCAAAGTGAAATGCTATCTTGCTTTTCACGATCATTTCTTATAAAATGTCTTGTCAAATGGAAAAGTGTTGTAATACATCATTTTCATTATTTTTATCATAGGAAAAAAGAATTTCAATCCAGATACAACCATGTGGGGCATGAGTAAAACTGACTTCTGATATCATGGACAAAGATTTCTATAAAGTTTATTAAATTTTAGTGGGTTTGTTTTTTTTTTTTTGCAAATACCAAAAATCATTCTCCCTGTAACTGCTTCTTGCATGCATAAAAATGGAAAGCCTCTCAGTGAAACACAACTCAACGAGGGAATTCTGAGTTACCTTTTGACTCTTGTTTTACATTTGATTTAGCATTTAATTGCTTGTGGATTGGGAGGAGGTTAATGATCTCAGAGAAAACAGCTAAGAAACAAACACACCGAATTAATAGTTGTAATCGATAAAACAAAAGCCTCAGGAAATCCTTAAATAACTCACCTGCTCAGTAATGCTGGTGGTATCAGCACCCACTGGGGCATGGCGAGTCCTCTGGCCTCGGAAAATAGACTTCACTGAATTGATAAAACTAGACTTTCCAGACCCAGTTGGACCCAGCAAGAGAATACGAATTTCTGAAATAATGTGTACACAGGGCTTGTAGGCTCTGAGTTCGGCTACAAGTGGATTTCTGTACCTGTCAAATAATATGCAGTACTTAAAGACAACAGCCAAATTTCCATAGGAGCGGTACAATTCTCCTGCTGCTTCTTTTCTTCCCTTTAAAAGTATGTTTTAAGTACTTATTATCTTGGCATTAACACCTATCATATGATTTGAAAGGGTCTAAGGTTACGCATTTTGTACTTGAAGAAAATGTGTTTATCGATGCCCAAATAAAGTTGAACATTAACCAGCAACCAAATCACTGTTAAACTATGAGCCCTAGACCACCCCAGTCTAACAAATTCAGCAACTGAAGATGAGTATTATATCAGTAATAATGTCATATTAAGGAAAAATAATATACATGCAATGCAGATATTTATCTATAAATTGGGGTGAGGGGGCTTTTTTAAAAAAACTTACTGAAACTCCCCCAAAAAACTTTATTCCCAGGGAAAGGTGTCAGAGGAATTATCTGAAATAGATACCTAGACTTTTCTGTCTGGAAAACCTAGAATCTAGCAAGTCCAAGGTGAAACATAAAGTCAAACTGTCACCAGGTAGATTTTTAAAGGATCACAGTTGGTAGTGATTTTGCTTCTGTTGTCGCTGTAAATTGCCTCGAATATATTATGTAAGTAACTCACTGGTATCACTCCAAGTTATGTGATCTTTATTTTACGATGTCATTTCCAATGCCATTTATAGGAGTGTTCTAAATAAAATGAGTAATAGATAATCCAAGAACCCAACTTACTTCATGGCTCTTGTTATCTTGCTTATGTAGTTTGTATCATCCTTAATCCCTGTAGGAAATAAACATAGCGTAATAAGTTTTTTTTTTTTTTAAGTTACCTGGCTAAATCTCCCCAAGTCTACCTTCTAAATGGGAGCAGTGAGTCTTCCTATATAATTCAGGGCTGAGCCGTCCAGTTAGGAGTCAGAGTTGGCAACATCATGGGAAAAGAAAGGAAAATTATCCTCCCCGCACATTAACTGGCTCTGGAAACTCTCACATAACTATGCCTAGAGATCCTAGAGCTGCCCCAAAAGGGGTCATGTGCCAAAATAAACCCTGCTCTCATTAACTCTCCATCTCCATGTCTCCACTTATACCTCTCACCTTTCTTTGCTCAAAGCTGCCTATACTTTCTAGGTAGTATACTCTTCTGCTCCCTGGGTTTCATTTTGAAGTTTATGGAAGAGAAATTCGATGGCGTGAAATCTGACTGCTCCTCTCATTTTTCCTTGTTCTTGCAGCTTGATTATCACCCGCAAACACAAAGATGAGAACCAGAATGCTGGATTATCTAATTTAACATACCTTCAGCTCGAAAAACTTCACATTCCAAAAACTTGGTTTTGCAGCAGGAATTTTGTTCTGAATCATTGTCTTTTGAAGTGTATGTAGAAAGTATGGCTTTGCCTAGATCTACAGAGAACTTCTTTTTGCCAAAGAAATAAAATTCCAGTTGTTTAGAAACAATTTTCATTTCTGTTTCTAAAACTGCAGTTATTTCACTTTCTCTATACTTCGGAAATGAAAACTGGAGGGAAGGATTTGGCCTTGTTAACTTATCAGACTTTTCAGGATAATGCTCAAGCATAAAGACCACCCATAAAACTTCAGAAAAGTAAATTATTGTAACAGTAGGTCCCTGATGAATGCACCTCTCAAGCAAATAAAAAATGTCACTTTGGTGAACACTAGACTTATAAAGAAGTCTCAAGGACACGTTCCCAAGAAGCTTTTGCAGTCTTTTCTCCTCATTCCATGTCAATCTGGTTGTGACTGCCATTGTTCTGTATCTGATAGAAAAACAACAACAGGTTAAGAGGCTAGTTAGTATATCACAGTGGTTTAAAGCACAGATTTCTGCTTCTAGCTCCAGAGCATTCTTTTTTCCTCTGCCCCAGTGAAAACATTATTTGGATTACAAGGCAAAAAACCATGTAGAAATGGAACAATAGTGGTACATATGAAAAAAATAGATAATTTAGGAATAAAAAATATCATCGAATTTTTGAAAGACACAATAAATGCAAGCCTAGATAAAGAATAAAGTAAGATTAATAAATTAGAACACTGATCAGCAAATGTTTTTCTTAATAACAAACAGTAAATATTTTAGGCTTTGCGGGCCATATGGCCTCTGCCATAATGACTCAACTTTGCCAATGTGACACAAAAACAGAGACAATATGTAAAGCCCTTTTTACCAAAGCAGGTGGGTGTCACACAGGCCATAGTTGACCAACCCATTGATTAGAAGGTAGGAAAAAGGAACTTATATAGAAAACAGTTCCCAAAGAAAGAAATTGACCTATGAAAGGATTGAAAAGACATTGAGGTCCTACAGCAGCATAAACCATGAGCCATCATGCCAATTCTTTCAATAAGAAAAGAGAACACAGGGTAAATTGTAAATACATATATTTGAAAACAGTGGAGGGCTAAGATTTGGAAAATAAGTGAACATGGAGACATAAGCTTGGCATTTGGGAGCACATTTCCCTAAGGAGCATCTGTTAGCTTTAGAAGAGATGCCAAAGATGCTGAGATGTTAGGCAAAAGTTTTACTAGACTCCCAGACCTAGAGGAATATAGTGCAACTAAGAGGATGTCTTGGCAATCCTCCTCTCAGGTCATGGGCAAGGATTATTTTTTTTTAATTTTTGTTTATTTATTTATATGAGAGACAGTGAGTGAGCAAGAGAGAGAGAAAACAGAAGCAGAGGGAGGGGGAGAGGAAGAGGGAGAGGCAATCTACTGCTGAGCAAGGAGCCCTATTTGGGGATGTAGGGTTTAATCACAGGGGCTCCATTCCAGGACTCCAGGATCATGAATGGAGCTGAATGCAGACATTTAACTGACTAAGCCACCATGGGCAAGGATTCTGAAGACCTACAGGGTAGAAGGAAGAGTGGACTGGAAATGGACAGCCTTGACTCCATCTCCTAAGTACTTCCCATCTATGATTGGGTTAGGATAAATGAAGATTGCTTATGCCTCCAAGCTGCGTGGCAAATACAAAACAAATCTTGTCTAGATGAAGAGAACATCTTTCTAGCTTCAAATGATCTCCACATTCTTTTCATATTCAGTGATTCACATTCATCATAAACACAAGAGGAAATGAAACAACAGGATAGAAAACCAAGAGAAAAAGTAGAACACATGAATAAACCCATACTGTTTACTCATTTGCTTTGTTTTTTTAGATTCCACATGCAAGAGAAATCTGATGGCATTTTTCTTTGGCTTATTTCATTTACCATAATCTCCTCTAGATCCACCCGTGTTGTCCCAAATGGCAAGATCTCGTCCTTTTTTATAGCTGAGTAATATCATAATGGGTGTGTGTGTGTGTGCGTGTGTGCGTGTGTGCACGTGAGTATGTCACATCTAATGGAAAAACCGTCTCTAATGGAGAAGCAGTCAAAGTATACGAAGAAGACATTCACAGATGAGGTAACTCAAATGAACTATAAACATAGAAAAAAATGTTCAGCCATTCTAGAAACAAAGAACTGTAAATTAAACAATAATGAGATGTCATATCACATTCAAACAAAAGTCCGGCAATAGCAAGTTGACCTGGATATAGAGATTCAATAATATTCACATTATTTGGCAGACATGCATCATTCTGGGGAACAACTACATTCATAGCAGCATTGTTTAGGATGACATTAGGAGATTGGATGTACACATTTTGGCATATTCACACAATGAAATATTAAAGAGCATTGAAGTGACTGAACTAGACCTATTTGTATCAACATTGATAAAGCTCAAAAAATTAATCTTCAGTGGAATAAAGCAAGTTGAGAATGACACACTTAGTATGGACACACTTAGATATCATTTAAATGAACAGTTAACAAAGCAATACTAGAGATCATGTTTAGATACATATGGGTATACCAAAAGCATAAAAACAGGCAAGACAACAATTTATACCAAAGTCTGGATAATATTTCCCTCAAGGAAGGAAGGGAAGAGAAAAGGATGTAGGAGAGATTCCCAGAGAACTTCGACATTATCTGTAATGCTTTTCTTTGTTTTTCAGGAGTGAAAAACTGTCCTAATTGGATAAAGCAAGTCATTTAAAAATATCTGATAGAACTGTGTGAGATTACACTGGAGTTTACCTACTCTCTGAAGTGCCCTGTGTTGGAAACTTTCATTAAAAAAGAAAACAGAACAAAATTAAGGAGGAGGGCAGCCCAGGTGGCTCAGTGGTTTAGTGCCACCTTCAACCTAGGGTGTGACCCTGGAGACCCTGGATCCAGTCCCACGTCAGGCTCCCTGCATGGGGCCTGCTTCTCCCTCTGCCTGTGTTTCTGCCTGTCTCTCTCTCTCTCTCTCTCTCTCTCTCTCTCTGTCTCATGAAAAAATAAATAAAATCTTTTTTAAAAAAATTAAGGAGGAAATTGCATTAGCAGCAATTTGAAATTCTTTTTCAAAGAAAGGAAAACATAATTTTCCATACACAGCTAGGAAACATCGGATGGCAAAAAGTCACTTACCTGCTTTTAAGATTGGATGGAGCTTTAATGTCGGGTTAGCTGCTCTGTTTGATGCCTCCAGCAGCCACAGCTTGAAGAACGAAGGTTCTGCTGAGAGCTCTGTGGTTGAAAGAAAAGAAAGTGAAACTCAAAGTAGCAGGCAGCAGGCAGCTGTCGTTAGGTTTCGTTTTCCTTGCTAGAGAAAAGAGACAGAGAAAACAAAAGGGAGAAAAAAGATTTCTGCCAAACACATGAGAAAGATCTTTGGTCCCCTCTGTAGCCTACGGTACGTAGGCCTGCATGAAATGGCCATTAATAAAAAACTGCACTAAATCTAATAGCTAACTTTTCTGTACATTTAACTATGTGCTTGGCACTGGGCCACTGCATGCATTTTCCTAGTTTCTTCTCAAAACAATCTCACAGAGTAATCACTATTAGTATCTTTATTTCTCAAAGTATGCAGATGAGACTTAGGGACATTTGATGACTTTGCCCAAATTAATCCAGTGAGCAGAGTGGTGGCACTGACTGGTGTTTAAAACCAAGTCTTTCTTTTTTTTTTAATATTTTATTTATTTATTCATGAGAGACACAGAGAGAGGCAGAGACACAGGCAGGAGAAGCAGGCTCCATGCAGGGAGCCCGACGTGGGACTGGATCCCGGGACACACACACACACACACACGCACCCTAGGTCTATTTCTACTCCTTTCTTGGCTTTTAAGTCCCTCTCTTTGGTGATAAGGATGTCTTTTTACTTATTAGTACAGGCAGGATATTTTTCATCGAAGAGATTTATTTCCTGCTTTCTGGTGGTCAGAGAAGATTGTAAGTGTCCTTGCACTGACTGTTTCCCAAGTAGCTTCAATTCAAAATAATCAATATGTCATGCATGTGGTACATTTGGGGGCAGCCTGCCCTGGGCACCCACAGAGTACAAGGAAGAAGTGAAATAAGAGAGAGCACAGTTGTCATCAAGGACCTCCAAGGATTTTAGCCTGCCTGGAACAGACTGACAGCATCAAACTGGCAAGCAATGAGGCTAGGGAAGTGATTAGGATTTTAAAAGTCTTTAAGTTGGATTTTATCATGAAGACGATATTAAGACTCTAAAACCTGAAGAATGGCATGATCAAAACTGAAAGTCTTTGAAAGAAGAGCTATTAGTTTTTTCTTGCTTTGTAACAAATGTCATAAACCTAGAGGCTTTATTTATTTATTTTTTGACATTTTATTTGTTTATTTGATGGGGAGAGAGAGAGAGAGGAGAGACAGAGAGAACAGGCAGGGGGAAGGGCAGAGGCAGAGGGAGAAGAGACTTCCTGCTAAACAGGAACCCTGCCTGACGGGATGAGCACTGGGTGTTATTCTGTATGTTGGCAAATTGAACACCAATAAAAAAATAAATTTATTATTTAAAAAAGTCATTATCGATGTTATGTGTAATGTTATTGGTAATGCAATTATTTTATACATAATATTATGGAATCCTCTTGCATATAACAATGTTATTATGGATATAATGTAGCATACCTCTAAGTCTCAGGAGCAGCATATTAAATATTTTATGGCTGGAATGTCAAAAAAAAAAAAAAAAAAAAAAGGAATCCTGCCTCAGGGCTGGATCCATCCCAGGACCCCGGGATCATGACCTGAGCCAAAGGCAGGGGATCATGACCTGAGCCAAACGCAGATGTTTAACCAACTGAGCCACCCAAGTGCCCCAACCTAGTGGCTTTAAAACATTTCATGTTTATTATGGCTCAGTTTCCATGGATGGGGAAACCCAGCATGGCTCAAATAAAATTTTTGCTCAAGGTGTCTCACTCAAGGTATTAGCCAATGGTGGTCCCATCTTTCTCGGGGAAAGACTCTGATTCAAAGCTCATTTAGGTTATTGGCAGAATTTAGTTCTTTGCTGACTGCCAGCTTGAGGCTATTCTCAGTTCCTAGAGGTTGCTCAGTTGCTTGACAATGGCCTTTGCACTCCTCTTACACAACAGAATCCTCTGAGGTCAGCAGCAGAATCTTCCCTGTGTCAAATCTCCTTCATGCCTTGAGTCTCTGCCTTCAGAAAGGGTCCCTTTCTTTTAAGGGCTCACCTACTTTTTTCAAGGCCACGGAAGATAATCTCTTTCTTAAAGACAATAAATGAATTATGGAAGTGATATCGCATCATTTTCAGATCTCCACCATACTCAAGGGGAGGGAGTTGTACAAAGAGGTAGGCCACTGGGGAGCCATCATGGATTTCTGACAATAACAAAGGACAAGACTAGAATCAAAGAGATGAATTTTTAGCCTTTTGCATTTACTCAATCATTCTTTCAACCATCCATCCATCCATCCATCCATCCATTCTTTCTTCTTTAATAAAACATATATTGAGCACTAATATACTAATATACTCTGTGCTAAACTCTGGAGGCATAAACAGACATAGATTCTATCCTCCTAAAACCAACCTGGAACAAGATTAAGTGAGGCAATGTATGACCCTAAGAATAAGATTAGGTGCATTAAAGAATATAAGGCAAACACAAAATAATCTTCTGGTTCTTTTAAAAATATTATTATTTATTAGACCATGGGCAATAGAATATGAAAATGCTACTTACACAGAAAAACCACAGGATGAATTAATGTCATCTATTCTAGATTAGGTAATATGGCCACCTTTTTTTTTTTTTTGAGCTATTAGAGTACTTACAAGAGCTGCTTTGTATACTTTTCATCAGTTAAAAATATGTTTTAAAAACACATATGTAAAAATACATTGATATTTTCATAAATTTTTGAGAGCGCTATTTATAAGGAAATGAATCTTCTGAAAAAGTATATAGAGGCTGTTTAAAGAGAAGAAAAATGGAAGATGGAGAAAAATGAAGAGAAGATATTCCCATCTTCCAAGTCCTATGGCGGCAATAAGGAGTGGCTGAAATCATTCCCGGGTCTTCCTGTAGTAGGGCCTAAATCCTACACTCTGCACCTCAAAGACTGAAATGGCCAAAGTTTTTTGTCACTTGAGATATTCCTGTATTCCTGTATTCCTGGATAAGGGACCCACCTCTAAAAGCAGTGAGCATCACCCCTATCATGTGGCTGGTCAGGAAGACCAGGGAGCCAGAGCTATAACATCTGACAGCCATTAAGGTATGGCTTCGCCTTCCATCTCCTTCATCACTCTTCCTGTTCTTCTGCAGCCTCTTCCTGGTACAAACTCGGGGTTATTTGTCCCCCAGGACTATCTTGCCTTGAAGAATTCATTTTCTCTCCAATTACTTGGCTTCCCATCTCATAGCTCCTTCTTTTTTTATTTCTGCCTTCTCAACATTTTTCCTTCCTTGGCCTTCTCTTTCCTCCTTTGTAATTTCCTCCACCTCTGCTTTCCATACCCTAGCTGCTTAATATACATTACAAACAAATTAGGGTGTCTCCATGGTTGAGCATCTGCCTTCTGCTCAGGGCGTGATCCTGGAGTCCCGGAATCGAGTTCCGCATCGGGCTCCCAGCAGGGAGCCTGCTTCTCCCTCTGCCTGTGTCTTTGCCTCTTTCTCTGTCTCTCATGAATAAATAAAATCTTAAAAAAAATGAAATGAATTAAGTGAAATAGATGTGTGACAACTTAGAAGCCCCAAAGATTAAAGAAGAGCCTGGTAATAACCCTTTTGACACAATCTGCTTTTCTTAAGGGAGGTAGACCTTATTTAAGGAAAATGGTCTCTTTGAGAAAATAAAAAGAATAAAAATAAATGTTTTTCTTATGATTAAATCATGTCCTTTATTTGTGATTAAGCGTTTACCATTTATTGATTTAATATTATTCTGTATTATAGATAAAAAGTGAACTGATTTGAACGCAGACTTAGTCTCAGGAAGAACAATTTATAATGCATATATAATTTCAAATTGGGGGCTGTGAAAAACTAAGGTATGATAAATGTCAAATTTAAAAATTCTGCTACAAAGACATTTATCATTTTTACTATTAAATGAAAAAGCATGTTTCATAAGAACATGTTCACAATAACCATGGACATAAAGTAGAGATAGATTTTTTTTAAGATTTATTCATTATTTTAAGGAAAGAAAACATGAGTGGGGGGAGGGCCAGAGGGAGAGAAAGACTTCAAGCAGACTCCCCACTGAGCATGGAGCTTGATGTAAGACTCAATCCCAGAACCCTGAGATCAGGACCTGAGCTGAAATCGAGAATTAGATGCTTAATAGATTGAGCCACCCAGGCACCCTAATAGAGACATACTTAAATGAAATATGAATTCACTCTTTCAACTCAAGTGTATAAGTCATCATTTTCTTTAAATCAATTTAAATTCACTTCTGGATCTCTGTGTCAGAGTTTTGGGACTTACTCCCCACCATTTGAGAAGGTCTCCACTTTCAGAATTGGACCGGGGATTGAGTGCAGCAGTAGGATAGTACATACCCTGTTGCGATTAGGGTAAGTGTCCTACGTGAACCATTGCAGAGACAAGACCTGGGCTGTGCCCCTGCTTCCTTGATTCCTGGACAAACCTACTTCCACAGCTTTTCTGTTGACATCCACATAACACATTCTTTTTCTTTAAGTCAATGAGTTGATTGTGGTTGCTTGCTATAGTACAACCCTGGCTAGTACACTGGCCTTCATTCTCTATCAACACTCTCACCTCTTAGATGATTTGATTCAATCCCATTACTGTAAACACCAGATGTATTGATATGCCAGTGACTCTCAAATGTATGTCTTCAATCTGGACCTCTCCCCAGAATATCTGGTGACTTGCTTGAAATCTCTGCTGGATGTATAAAAGGCATCCCATTTTTAACAGACGTACAACAGAACTTGCATTCAAACATGAACTCACTTCTCCCCTAGTACTACCTATTTTAGTAAAAGATACCAATACTCACCCAGTTTTATTAAAGAATTCTCCTTTGTTTCTCTTTATTTCACTCCCATATCCAGATCACGAGCAAAGCTGTCACTATATTTTTCTCTCTAATATCCCTAGTCTAAAACATTACCTCGATTAGCCTAGATAATGATACAAGCTCTATCTTGATGTTTCAGTTATCTGTTATTGCATAACTAAGCAGTTCTAACATTTAATAACTTAAAACAACAATAGTTTACTAATTA